AAAAACCCCCCCCCCCCCCCCCCAACCCCCTCGCCCCTGGCTCCGCCATCACTCTGCCTCGTTGCAGCTGGCTACATTGCGCTCGCCGGATGGCGTCATGATTGGCCTCTTGGAGGTCGACAAGGCCGCAATTGAGATTCGCCGCCAACACCAAGCCCAGTCATAATTTCTTGCCCGCACACGTGCGCTCGGCTGCGCCAGCACCTTCCGGTCTCCATGCTCTCTCACTTGCACATGCTCAGCCAGAGGTTGAACCGCCCTTCCTCACACAGTGAATCGACCTTTGTCTTGGTTTTTTTGTTTTTTCTTGGCGGGGGTTGTTCCTTCTTTTTCTCCACCTTTGGAGAACGAGACAACGCCCTTGTCAATTGCTTTTTTGTTGCCCTTGTCAATTGCTTTTTGTTGGAAACGCGCCGTCACCGTTGCGTCCCGCTCAATCAATCCTCGATGCGCCGAAACAGGTCAACGCTGGCATTGAGACCGGGGGCATGCGTCACGTTATTGTTGTGGCCATCCACGTCCTCGTAATACGGATACATGGGCGAAGCCACTGCCGAACCCATCTGCGACGCACCATCCCACTGTGAGCATGAGGCCCGTGGACTCGGACGCCTAGCAGTAGTACTGGCTCGTGCTGTCCCGTCTTACCTCGTCCAAAAACTCTTGATAAGCGCTGCGCGCTGCATCGTACTCACGTACGGCCGCTGTCAGCCCTGTGACATTAAAGTGACCCGTCTGGTTCCCTGCAAATCCCAAGGCCAGGACCTTCACAGAGCGAGTGCAGCCACATCAATCGCCTGCGTGCCCAGCGCAGGTCCTTCAAAAGAAGTCACTCACTGTCCAACCAGCTGCGATGATGTGAGAGAGCAAGGCCCCGTATTTGGCTGAATCACGGAAAAAGGGTGCCCAGCCCCTATATACCACGCACACCGGAACCACCCTTGAGCAAAGGACATGCAAACACACACACATACCACGGCAACCGCTTCTCACGTGGTCACATTGGCCGTGCCCGCGCCAATCAAGCTTTGGATCCGGGCCCACGTTGCTGTCGCGGCCTGCTTCTCCGCCACAGCTTGTTCCAAGAGCTCGTGCTCATATCTACATCCCCGAGCGAACGTTTGTCGTGACCAACTTGCTTAACCTTGCAGCCTCACAACACAAAGAATCGCCACGCACAAGTATGGAAAGATCGGGCCCGTTCCGTACGTCAAGCCATTGAGTTGGTCATAGCCACCCTAGACAAGATGCCAGCCAGCCCATCAATACACAATACCGTCTCGATACGACACGCGCGCTGAATCAAAGCACACCATTCGATCATCGCGGAACCAGTTGTTCGTGGGCATGTACTGGTTTAGAAGGCTAGCATCATAGGGCTGGCAATAACGCATTTGGAGTACAGCCTCCTGTGAAGCCACAGCCGCTGTCAATAGGCTGGGGCACCCCTTTGCCGCCATGCCCAAGTCCTCCGTACAGGTGGCCAGAAAAGCCTCATCGGCACTCAACCCGGGAATGGGTGAGGTGTTGTTGCGCCACCATCGTAAGATCACCAGTGTATTCATCAAAGGCCACAGCTCATGGACGCCAACCTTGGGCACGCCACCCCAGCCCCTGACACGAGGTTCAGTTGGACATGAAATGAACAAAAAAATAAAACATGGGATAACAACATGTTCGCTGCGCCCGACGTACCCGCCCGAGCTCCAAAGCCAGAGCCCCGTGATGAGCGAGCTGTTGACTACGTCCTTGAGCCCCTGGCCGTCAAGCACCTCAGCCCAGCGATTTATCACGCCGTGACCAATGTAGTTGGGAAATGCTCCTTTACCTATGTTGCTCAACAGCAAATGCTCAAAAGTGAATGCCAAAGATCCGTGCCAGTGTTTGTCGCACAATGGACACACCTTCATATTCGCGCGCACACTCCACTTCAACAATTTGTTGATGTGCACCCTGGGCCAAAGTGGGATTAAACGCCACGTAGGGCCAAAAATCAAGCATGACTACCATGCATAGCAACGGGAAAGTACCGAAAGTAAGCTTTGCTTTGCACACGGACACGGACACGCGCGCGGGCTTTATATTTGAGCGAGGGAACCTGGTCGCGGTAGAGTGTACCGTGCTTGATGGAAAAAATGAGTTTGGGATGGGGCGTGATTTGGTTTGTGACGTTCAGGTAGTACGCTAGACTGGAGTGGAAGCGCTTGGGTGACGAAGGAGCAAAGCCTGCCGATACATGGCTCAACAAACTGTGAGGCCTGTCCCATCGGTGATGCCCGCCTCAGGAAAATCAGACGACGCACCAGACGTGTCCCATGTACGAACGACAAAGACTCGATCGTCTACCAAGCAAGGGACCAAGAAGTATTCGGCGTCCAGCAGGAGAGATAGAGGGCGTAAGGTCACAAAAGCAGGGCAACTGAAGTCAATAGGGGGTGGCGATGATGAGAGCGCTAAGGTTGTAGCGCACGGCAAACGCACGCTTTTCAACAAAGGCAGCCTTGAGGATGCGGATCAGAAGCACGTAATCGGCTTGTTGCACATCAAAGGGGGCACTAAAGTTGACCGCTTCGTTGCCGGTAAAATAGGGTTCGGAGGGCAGGTAGTTTTCACCCACACGAATCATGTAGCTGTCCGCGGTCGGGAAGAGGGCTACCATCTCATCCACCATGCCGGCCAGCACACGCTGGGTCATAGGGGAGAGGACGATGGTGCCATGCCCATCCGTCATGTTTGGAAACGTAGCGATCAGCGTTGAAGGAAAGGTAAAGACGTCCATGGCATGATTGGTCTATGCAACGCAAGGCCGCATGCAAACGCCAAACCTTGAATGAGAGCCGAGATGGCGCATGGGGATGCACTGGTTTACACGGGTCTTCCTGAGAACTATAGGTCGACTGGAGGTACTGACTTTGAGCCCCTGTGCGTGGGCTGCGTCGATCTCCTTTTGGGCCGTCTTGACGCACTTTGCCCGCCAGGCCTCGGCATCCGAGCCGTTGGGAAAGATTGCCGGGCTGAGCCAGCGATACGATAGACATAGCTGCAGGTTGCTGGCAGCCATGTGTGTGTAGCCAGCGGCCCGCACAAAGCTCTGATTATTGAACCGACTGTCAGCATTGCCCACCGATGACAGGATCATGCTGCTCTCAGCCCCCTCTACTGCCCCCCGAACCGCGATCCAGAGCAGCAACACCGCCACCGCGCCCTGCTGCCGGCGGCGTCCCCACCCGCCCATCGTTCTTGTCGTTTGTTGATGATTTGCCAGCGCGCGCGTTTTATCTGACATTGAATCTTGAGTAACTGTCTTCAACTTCCTCCTATTCTTCGCCATGTTCTCCAGCTAGTTTTGCTTTGTAAGCCTTTTGACTATGGTCATTCACTTCTTTTTCTCCCCTATCTTCTACATCTTCTTTAGATCTGTTCATTCTTGACCTGCGCTTCCTTGCAGATCTTCTTCCCTTACTCTGCTTCAACTTCTTCTGCTTCTGCTTCTGATGCTGCTTCTGCTTCTGATGCTGCTTCTGCTTCTGATGCTGCTTCTGCTTCAACTGCTTCTCCCCCTTCTTCTTCTTCTCCCTCTTCTTCTTTTTTCTCCCTCTTCATCTTCATCTTGATCTTTATCTTCTTCTTCTTCATCTTCATCTTCTTCTTCTCTTCTTCTGAATTGTCAGCATGGAATTGTCAGCACGGTACGGCATGTGTAAGGCTGATCAAAACGTGTGATGGGCGTGGGTTGGAGCCCTCGGGGAGGATACTAGGGAGGGGAAGCAGCGCACCAGCAAAAGGGGTAGTGGCGCATGGAGTATCAAGGGGAGTATGGTTGTGGGCGCTTGTTGTCAATGCATGGCTTGGGCCATCACCACACCCACACACCTTGGATTGCGACTGAGTGCTTATGGGCATTGTGACGCGCGACAAGCGCATCTTTTCCTAACGTTCTTCTTCGGCCTGGGGCTTTGCATAAGACCATGCACGCGGCGTCTTCCATCGCTTTCCCCTTGTCTTAATGTCCGCCACAACACACTTAGCCCCTTGGAGCCTCGCCTGCCTTCTACTACCGCGACCTGTAGCTTTCCACGTCATTCTCCACTGACTTTGTCAATTGCACGGGCAATCGCCAGCATCATCAAGCAGATGCGTGCAGCCCGCAGCCACCCTTTCAGGGCCAGTCGGCCATGCAGCCACTATATGTGTGAGCCCCTCGGCCAGATGTGGCATTTTCTCAGACAGTGATTCACACATCATTGAAACTTGAACTAGACCTACTACCAGCTTGCGCCAACAAGACTCTACTGAACTACTTTGCCCTTGTGCTCCAAGAAGTTTTCTTTTTCCACAACCCCAAGACCGTCATCATGCATATCGAGGTTCTCCCCGTTCTCCGCAACTCGCTCATGTACCTGTTGGTTGATGAGTCGTCCAACACTGCTGCCGTGATCGATGCCGCTGATGTCAACAAGGTGCGTTGCTCGAGTCGTGTCAACGCTCTCGTGCGCGCTGCCCAGCACGACAACGACAAACCCACTCACTGTCCATTTAAAAATGTCCTGCTTTTTGTGAATGCTCAGCTTGAAAAGGCCGCCCGCCGCCTGGACGCCAAGATCGTGGCCGTCCTCTCCACTGACAACAAATGGGACCATACCCGTGACAATGAAGAGGTCAAGCGCCTGGTAAGTTCCGACCCCGTTGTTGTGTGTGTTGAGAGAACTACGGTTTTGCTTGCGGGGACATTGCTTCGACTTGAGCTTGAGCTTACCTGTTTCCCTGCCTGCTGCGTCCCTCCGAACAAACACAGTTCCCTGACGCCGTAATCTACGGCAGCCGTGGCGACAACACGCGTGCCATGGACAAGGAGGCCAAGCACGGCCAGCACATCAAGGTTGGCAACCTTGACGTCATTGTCAAGGATGCCCACTCCTTCACTGAGGGCTCCCTCATCTTTGAGGTTCAAGACCCTTCCTCGGGCGAAAAGGCCGTTTTCACCGGTGGCACTCTTTTGTGTGGTGGTGCTGGCGCCATCAACGTTCATGCCATTGAGGGCAAGATTGCCGACGTTCCCTCGAAGAAGTCAGTGCCCAAGGGCATGTCTGGCACCGCCAAGGATCTCTTCCGCGTCTTGAACGACATTCTTGGCTCGCTGGACGATGACGTTGAAGTCTACCCCGGCTACGACTCGGTTGTTGAAAACCTGCGCTTTGCCGTCGGCGTTGAGCCCGAGAACGAGGACATTGAGATGCGCTTGGCCGAGGCCAAGGACAACCAGAAGAGCAAGGTCCCCAACGTTCCTTCCACCCTGGGTCTCGAGCGCAAGACTAACCCCTTCATGCGCCTGCGTGAGAAGACCGTGCGCCAGTACGCCCAACTTGAGGGCAGCAAGCACGACAACCCCATTGATGTCCTAGACTCACTCCAAGCCAAGATGCTGGAGCTTGGTCTGCACCCCAAGATGCAGACAGCTTAAGCAGTGATCATTGTGTCCCCCGATACCTGATTCAGCTGCAATCTAATGGGCTCGAGTGCCCCACTCGCTGCGCATGCGCTTTGTAAGCGTGCAGGTCTTGATCGGCGTCTTTGTCACTAGGAAGGCCTCGCTGTGCGGCGAGACTTGTGTTCGTGCCTTTTGTGTTTCATCTTTCCATTCCCCCAGCTCGCCCCATGTGATCACAAAGTGATTCTTTTCCTCAGCCTGTCCAAGGCAGGTAGCATGTGCTTACAAAAAAGAAATCGATTTGATTAAAGTTGTAAAGCTAAAACATCATCTTCATACTGGAAACTCACGGCGCAGCTGCCGCTGACAGCGCAGCACCCTCACCAGAACCTTCGGGGACCATGTTTTGCACCTGCTCGGCCAGCGAGGCGTAGCAATTGGCACACACCCGTACGGTCTCTCGTTGCGCCGCAGGGGCTGGTGGCATGTTGCAGCAAGTCGCGCAGGGTGAGAGAAAGCCGGCCAGCTTCAAAACACATCGCCAAACGTGCAGGTGGCGTACCCGTTGCACCCAACGCACGACGCGGGACCTTGAATTGGCAGCAACGGGCACAACGTCGTTCGCCGCAGGATCGACAGTAGACCTACAAAATAAATAATTCATGAGCCCCACCTCGCACAGGTGATGCCTATTGCAAAGATGTACGGGAAGCAGAGAGAAAGCATTCAGGTGCCGTCTGAGGCTAGAGCAAAGTGTCACGCACTCGCTGACGGAGCCAGGTATAGGCGCTGCCGCAATCAGGACAGCTGCCTGCACCCCCACTTCGTCGACGTAAGCTGGTCTCGCTGCAATGCGGCAACACGGGGAAGGGGGAAGTCACCATTGCAACGCGAGCGTGAGTATGCCACGTTTGTAAGTCACTCGTGCCAGAGGAGAGGACAACGTACGAAGCATCATCGACAGACTCGTCTGGCTGTGACTCTCGCCCCGTCTCTTCCAAATCGTCGCCATCAACGACCAGCCACTCCTGTTCTGTCTTCTTCTTGCTCTGGTAGTCATCGGCAAGCGTCTTGAGCGTCGGCTGAAGATCCCCAATGCTGGCACACGCACACACGCACACGCACGATGAGGTGGTGAAATTGTAGCGTGGATCGGCAATTTTACAACATTGCTGTATTGCGCATCAAACGTTGGCAGGGCCGAACAGCCTCAAAGGCTTGAAACAAACCGGTAGCTGGTCTTGGAAGCAGCAGTCTGCTGCTCGCGGGTGGGCAGACGGAAGAAGGTGGCCAATAGGAGACGCTGCCCAAAGGGCGTGCCCCAGGTTGTAAGAAGCAAGGCAACGTAAACGCGCAGCAACCAGCCCGTGAACGAGGCGGCCATTATCGCCCAAGCCAGACACCCAAGCAAAAAGCTAAAATTGGGCAGATTGGCAGAAGATTGAGGAACAAAGCAGCAGCAGTGGTCGGGCGTGAACCATTTGACCAAAGGACGAACCGACGAGAATGCTCAGGGCTTCGCCAGGACAGCAATAATTGGACGCGATATAAGCGATCAATCAGCACTTCGCCCGTCTCCTGCAGCTTGAGTAGTCTGTCAAATCAATCCGGAAAAGAATGGTGAGAGGTCATGGCGGACAGTCAAGAAGGTGCACGATAACTCGGTCACAACGCTGCACGCACACAAAGTGAAAGGCTTTGAGCTGAGCGTCCACGTCTTCCTGCAGACGGCAAAAGGGGGCATGAGCATGAGTCATATGCACAAAGGCGGCCGGCGAGGCAGGGGTGCAACACTCGGCCTCGTTCATCCCCATGCGCTCGACGCACCTCCTTGACCTTTTTGCGCATGATGGCAAACGCATCCAGCGCTGCAAGCCACAAATTGGGGCGGAGACAAGGTGCAGAAAAGAACGAGTATGAGCTTGTAGCAGAGTGAGCAGGTGATGCACAAAGGGTGAACCGCATGACCTTCACAAAGCACAACGCATCCTTGGGTGGGCGCGCACCGCGACAGTAGGCTTTGGATAGGAGCGCGCCGGGGCTCCGCGAGTTGAGCATCCAGCAGTAGTATGAGACCAGGACCAGGACGAGCCACAGGACCAAAGGCACCAAGCCTTTGAGGAGAAGAGGAAGGATCGTGGCAAGTTGGTGGTGTACCACGGCGCGGAAATCGAGCGGTCAGAGATGCGACGAGGGGAGTGGCAGTGACCCATGCGACCCCATGCATGGCGACGCGCGGTACGCACGTGGCAGAAAGGCAAAGAAAACGACGACTACAGTGGCGACAAACGACAGTTTGGGATTTTGCCAGCTATCGGGCGGTCATGGGGTGGGTGAGCGCGAGCAGAAACCGTGACGCGGCGCCAACTCGCTCTCAGATATCCAGTCGCCGTCCGGCACAGCATACCGGGCCAATTTTTCGTAGTGTTGCCAGCAAATGTCAAAAGGCGCCCAAACGGTAAGAAAGACATCGCGAGCCTTCATCCAGCGAGAGAGGTCCACAGTTCGCTGCAGATGCAAGCCAAAAGCAGGCGAGGGGGCAAGGCGAGTCGAAACGACGAGTTGAGTGAGATCATGAAAACCGCCGACTGACGAATCCAAACCAAGGGCGGGAGGGAAGAAAGCAGCCTCACCTTGGTTGGGGTGGGAGCTTCGACGGTCACCTGGCTCCACTCTGCCAGCTTGGCCTCGAGCGGTGGAGGAGCGCTAGTACTACCAGCGGCATGACTGCTGCGCTTGCCATGGTCATCCACGGCTGCCGCTTCAGCTGCCGCCGCATCTTGTTCCGCTAGCTGCTGGCGCAGCCGCTCCAGGTTCTTCGTGGTCAGGCTCATTGCGAATGTTGCCTTTTCATATCTTCCACAAGCTCCACGGTCTCAGCAAACGGCACCTGGCTGCCAAAGCCCGGAAACAGCGCACCCGATCCTCCCCGCCACGATCTCACAACCAATCAACACCAAGCCTTCGGCCGAGAACGACTCTCCGAACCAGCATCAAAATGCCAAGCCCCTACCACACCAAAGCCACCCTGCCTCGCCACACCCCAGATGCTTTTCCCCCCCTCCAGCCCTCGCCAGACGAGACAGACGCACACACACCCCGTGTGCGTGGTGGACCCTCTGTGTGTCTGTCTGTCTGTCTGTGTGTGTGTGTGTGTGTGTGTGTGTGTGTGTGTGTGTGTGTGTGTGTGTGTCATCAACACTCGAAACAAAAAAAAAATTAAAAATTACAAACACTGTTTCAGTTTTCGCTCTCTCAAGCTTTTGAGCTCTTTCTCTCTCATCTCTCTCTCTCTCTCTTTCTCTCTCAAGCTCTCTCTGTCTCTCGTCTGTCGGTCTGTTTTAGCCTCGTGGGTCACGACCACTTGAGCAGTCTGGGTTTACCCCCCTCCCCCAACCTTCGGTCGGTCGCTTGTCTCTTTCTCTCTGTCAGAAGACGGCTCGAGAACCGGAGGGCAGTGGAGGGAGTAGGTATGAGTGTGGGGCTAGTTGACACGTCGCTTGCAAAGGGAGAACCAAAAAAAAAACAAGAGACAAAGCGACGAGATTGGATTTGGAAGCGCAATTGAGTTGAAACTGCTGGGACCTTGGGCGGCACAGCCGCGAAAGCATCCAACAGACAAGAGGCGAGAAGACAATACAGCAGCAGCAGCAGCAGCAAGGAATGTGCAGCAGAGTGCGGATAGATTGTTGATGCTGCTCAGTTCTTGGATTTGCTCTGAAAGGGATCAGACCACACGGGCAAACCTGGAGTTCAAGGGAACCGGCTTAGCACCTCGCCCTGGGCCGCAGCGCTGGCAATTTTCCCGCGCACAGCAAAACGTACCTGTGGGTTGAATTTCCTGCTTGCTGAGGCCTTGTTGGCGCAAAAACTCTTCCTGGCGTTGTGCTGATTGGGACGCGCATGTCGATGGCAAAGGAGTCAGAAGACCGGGCGCAACGGCTCCGACACCCAGGCCAGATGCAAACACACGGAACACAGGGGTGCACATGGCAACAAAGCAGTTCATATGGGTAGACATACCGTAGCTAGCACCACGGTTGAGCATGGGCGCAAAAACAATCGGATACAGGGCGGCCAGCGTGCCGCCCGCCACGACAAAGACCACAAACGCGTTTCGCGACATGTCTCCTCGTTCTCCTACACACAATTCCCAGGACCAAGCATCGATCAACTCTGCAACCCCACATACAGCCACACACCCTGAAACCCCATCACCCGTATACCCAACGCGCACTCTGCCAACTGCCATTCCCCTCCCCACCCAGCACCCAAACACGCAAGTGCACAAGTGGCCAGCGCAGCCCCAGCTCGGGTCACCCCGCGCACACACACACACACACACACACAGAAAAAAAAATCCGACACCGGCTGCCTCTAAAGTAAACAACTCCCTCTTAGATAACACCGTTATCCAAGTCATCGTACAACTGCTGTTCTCGACGTCAGCATTTTATTCCAAGTGTAAGTTTGATCACACTACGCTTCACACCTCTACCTCTCTCTCTGAAAGAAAAAAAAAAAAATCGTTGAACCTTGGCAGCGGCACCTGTTGCTCTCGTCGCTCGTGACCTCTCGTCCGTCGCTGCTGTCCCGTGCCGCATGGCTCGGTTCTCGTTCGCGGTGGCCTTGAGCTTTCTCTTCATATCCCAAGTGCTATCTGTGCCTTTTTTTTGGGGACGCATGTACATTGATCTTGGTTCCGTGATTCTCAAATGCAGGCCTCGGTTTGAGGACGATCGGATCGGATCCTGCCGTTCCGTGGAGTGTGACTTGCGCGATTGTCAGCGCCTAGCTTGCAAAACGGCATCGCGGGTTGGCCTGCCCGACAAGGATTCTGCTTCTGGTTGATGCAACCAATACACTGCGCGCTACGTATTGAGCAAGCAGCCTCTTAAGCGGGTTATTTGTGCAGCCCTCCCAAGGTCTGTGCCGCTCCTGCTCTCAATAATGCAGCGAATTCTTCAGCCTGTCATACCTTTTTGCTCGTCCAGCCACACACACGCTCGCGCGCGCGCACCACCGGCGGCATCCAGCCCATTCCCACCCCTCACCCCCCTCTCTGCTCCAAAGGCCGCCACATCACGACAACGCCCCATTCTCCTGCTTACCCCAACCTGATTGAAATACTCCTTAGACTACGCCATCCTTCCGCTGTAACGCAACTTGTAGTTTAGTCGGTCACCGTTCCAGGCGACCCAACGTACTGATTGTGCAGCAGAATTTGCACTCTCCTTTCCACCCTTTTTGCGCCCCTCAACCGCAAAAAAAAAGCTCTTTGTTGGCTGTGTGCTTGGTCGATGGACGTGCCTACAGAATGGCTGCCATAATCTCCTCCTGAATTATCAGGCCAAAATCCAGCTGAAGAGCGGTGGCGGCTTGACGTTTCTCTCCAACGCCCCCAACTAGTGCTGTGACTTGCTTCCGTTGCCTTATCGTACCTTTACTCAAGGACAGGCAATATGGCTGATCCATTGGACATGTCCTTGCTCGACACTGATGCCGTGAGTGCTCCTCATAGCCAGTGTCTCGCCTCACGCTCGCCCTGGCTGACTCATTTCGCAATGTTACCATGTAATGCACGCGCAGCTTGATGATCCGGGAGGCTTGCTTGGTGATGATGACATCAATAGCCTGCTGCCCGAGCTGGCGAGCGTCATGGGCCACGACGACGATGTCAACTTGGACTTTAAGCCCGATCCCATCGGTGTGGCCAGCTCTCCTCACCCATAGCAGTTATCGGTTGCCAATGCCCTCATCCCTCATCCCTCATCCACTCTTCCTTCCTCCCCTCCCCCTCTGCCCAGTAGAAACCCCGCCCCTGCTGCCCACTGCGAAGCAAAGCAAAGGTGGGTTGCTTCTCGTCCAAAAGCAGTAATGTCCTCAAAACATCCTGGCCTTTGAAGTCGTTTTTCTCGCTCACAAAAAAAACCTTTGCAATCAGGACGTGGAAACGGGCGTCGCTTGGGTCGAAGAAAACAGTCACCGCCGCCCACCTTCGTACGTGCTAGTCGCCCCCACCCCCCGTGCTCTGCCCTGTGTCGAAACGACGCGGCCGTTGAGCTTCAACCCCTGGACCAACAGCAGATAATCTCATTGTCCTCCTTTGTCTTGCCGCCTTCCTGTTGTTTAGGCCCAAAATTCTCAGGCCATTGCTGACCTGCAGACACGTGAGTGGTAGCTTCAGCCAGCTTCGGCCAGCTTCGGCCATGGCCCCCACAATTTCTCTTTAACCCCAAGCTCAACCTGTGCATCTTATCAAAAAATATGTTTGACCTTGACTAGGCAAGGAAGCTTTGATGCAGCAATTGCCTCCGCATTTACGCGATACCATCACAGCTGATGGTGCCAAGCTCGGTCTCGATTCCGCGCTTTCCCACGGCACCACCAACTTTGCTGTCGGCGCACCTGATTTGAATAATGGCTCTGGGCATCAAAGTACGTTTCTCTCGATGACGGCATCCCAGGGCTTGCGTCATTGATTCATATCCAACCCCCATGTGCTGCGGATGGGCGTCTGTCTGTCTGTGTATCTATAGATGGTTCTGCGGCGCGATCCGGGGCCATCCACGGTACATCCCTCTTCAATCCAGAGGATCGCAACCTTTTTGGCCAGTACCCCCTCAAAGAGGAAGCTCGCTTTGTCACCTGTCCAAAGTGTGACCGTCGGCTGCTCGAGCGTGCTTTCGCCGCTCACCAAGCCCTAGGTCCGCTTGCTTTGCCACACTCTTGCCAGACTACCCTTCCTTGCTGCAAACCCTGTTGTGTTTCAAAACCTAAGCCTCCTCATATCGCCTCTGCACTATGCCCAGGTGACTGCCGTCAGGATTTGCCCGCAGAGAACCCGACTAGTGATCCCCTTGGTACCGAAAACTCGGCAGCCGCAGCCATCACCGACGCCGAGCTGGATCAGCTGCTCGACCTGGGCGGTTTTAATGACTTTGACAGTTCGTCTTTCTTTGGATTATCCTCGCAAGTACGCTATCTTCACCACGCAACGCAACGCACTCATGCTTGTTTCCTGCCTACCCCTAGGTGTATTTGTGGACACGTCGGATAAGCCAGCCAAAACCACCAAAGGTAAGATTGTCTGAGTCGTGCTTCTTCTTTTTATTTTTGCTTCTTCTTTTTTTTTTTTTTTCTTTTTTTTTAGTTTCTTAGTTCCGCTCCGCTGATCCTTCGCAAACTCACCGAGTGGTCGCGTGCTACCTTTGGCCTACCCATAATTATCAGCCAAAGGCCAACGCTCTGGTACCCCCAAGACAGAAAAGTCAAAGAACACGCGCGAGAGTAGGTTGACGCGTCCAAACTCGTGCAAGGCGAACCCCTGCGTCCATGTCCTTGCCTCGCCTACGATGCTTATTTTGTTGATGTATCTCATTTCTTTTTTCCTGATGTGTTGTCACAGCCAAACTGGATCCGAATCGGCACTGCTACGTACTTGATCCCAAAACGGGCAAACATTGTCACCGCGCACTCACATGCAAGGTCTGTGATTGTAAACGAATGGCCACTTGTCAACCACTTCTTTGTCAATTCCCCTCCCCCCCCCAAGCGTTGTTTGTATCAGGAACGTTTTATCGACTCCCTCACATTTTTGTACCACAGGAAAAGGCTGCTCGCGATGCCCCCACCAAGTTTGAGAGTTTCCCGGCCTTTGATCCGTATCTGGACGAGAAAGCACACCCCATGGCTTTTTTGCTCCCTAACCAGCCAACCCCACCGCCGTCGACCAATGCTGCCACACCCAAAACGCCCATGACGCCGGGATCACCTGCTCCAGCACAACCTCTGTCGGCCAATGGCTCAAAGACGGGCTCGATCACGGCCCCGCGGTCTGCCACTGCTGAAAGTCCCGGAGCAAAAGGTAAGGGCAGCTCGAGCAAGCTGCCTCCAACCAAAACATCTTCCTCCAAAGCTCGTGGCCCTGGCGCCTCCACCTCTACTGGCGCGACCATCTCCAAGGCCACGGATAACTTGTCCGCGACTGGATCTGCTGGAGTCAAGGCAAAGAAGAACAAAGGCAAGACAACCACACAACCTTCAAATTTGGAAGTGGGCGCCATCAAGGGTCACACGGCCAGCCCTGCTGCATCATCAACGACCCACAAGGCTGGCCGACGCGCCGACGCACACCCGCGTGTGCCAATGACCTATCAGGTAGTTGCTCATCCCAGTTGTCGCCTGTGCCGCCCCTGACTGATGTTGGCGATAGCCAACACGTACCAACTCAACGTCTCGATCGCCTCTCCTAATTGCATCGTCTGTTTGTGTGTTTTCCTTAGGAACGCCTGCATGCGCCACTACCTCTGGCGCGCCCCACATATGGTCTCTCTCGATCCTTGACCTATCCATCCATTCTGATGCAGTTTTTTCATCCATCAAGCCTAGCCCAGGCTCACTCGCTCTTGCGTGAAATGAACGTGCAACGTTGGAACCAACGCCATGCCAACTCCAAATGGCCCTTGCCCTCAAATACACAGCAACAACACCCGAAGGTGCCTTTAGCATCAAAGCTGCAAGTTTTCGCAAGCGGCGACGAGCTTGATCGAGAACTGCGTGCTGTACACACCCTTCTGGCCACGGATCCTTCGACAAAACGGCGCCTCCATGCTCTGCCCAAAGGACTGAACCGCGCTCTCACCGGCCTCCCGGCCCCGTTTGGTCCACATCGGCGTCGCTCGCCTGCAATGCAGGCCATTCGCGCAGCCATGGCTGCCCGCTTGGCCAACGTGGAGGTGCTCGGCAAGCCTTTTGACGATGCCCCGCGCGCAAAGCGAGCTCACGATCGCGAGCGGCTTCGCCATAGTTTAGAGCAGTTTGAGCGAGATACTGCGACCGTCGAACAGAATGACGAAACCACAGGCAGCACCACCTCAGCATCTATGCCCGCTCTCATCGCCACTGACTCTGCAACGGCATCGTCCTCCCCGGCTGACAACCAGACCACGCCAGTAAACCAGGGCCTGGACGCCGTGTCAGGGGGTGCGGTGGCCTCCTCGCCGGTCAAAACCGAAGCCAGTGCTCCTGCGGAGACAACACCGGTTACAGCAGCTGCCTCTCAGCCTCACTCACCAGAGCATCTAGAGCATAGCAGCAGTCTAAGCCAGGATTTGGACGCGGTCGCAGCTTCTAGCACCGGTGCGCCACTGGCCACAGACTCCCTCTTAGCACGTGAATATGCACGCGCGTGCAAATATGCAAGGGCTCAGATTCTGGCTCAGCAGCGCCAGAACGGTGCAAGCGTCAGGGATCTGCAAAACGTGGACAAGCCAGCCGCCACCATGGCCATGCGTGCCTTAATACAACACACCCTTTCGATGGCCAATGTGCCTGTAGAGGCTGCGCTGCTTCGACATAGCGACGGTCGATTAGACAGTCTAGAGGACCATCTCAAGGCCGTGCGAGCCCCTGGTCGGGGGCTCCCTGCGGCACATGGGACCAAGAAAATGACGGCACGCCGCGTGCTTACGTCGGCTGCCTCGTGGATGCCAAGTCGCTTTCGCTCACGCGCCTGGATCGTGGACACCCCGTCGACGTTGCCCGCCAACTTGCTGCAACGTAAGACAGCGGAGGCGACCGGTGGACCGGCGAAACCTGCCCAGCTCTCAGGCTCGGCACAACCCCTATTGCCTCCATCAAGCTCGAGTACCAAGACACCTCTTGGGGGGTCCATGACGGGCAGCACCAAGTTACCCGCCAGTTCTTCAGTCTCCCATGGATCAACATCAGCAATCAAGCGAGGCGGGGCTAATGTTAAGCGTGCGGGCAGTCGCCGAGCTTCAACAGACTCCCCCACTTCCAAGGGCACGGGACCCACCTCGGGTGGACTTAAGCGCGGCTCTGCGGCGCCCGATGCAGCGGCTCGCAAAGCGGCAGTGAGCACCAACAAACGCGCCGCTTCGGCAAGCGTCACCCCCGCTCCTTCTTCGAGCGGGAACAAGCGAGGTGGGACTGGCGGCGGAGGTGCCCAAGCTAAGCGCCCGCATATCGATCCGACGGCAGTGTATTCTGGAAGTGATATCGCGCCGACTGGGCCGGTACCTGCCGGCTCTGGGACCACCAAACGCGGCGGTGCACAACCTGGAGCTAACCGACGAGGATCCACAACGGCCAACAAACGCACCAGCACGGCTCCCGTCGAACTGTCGGTTGTGGCGCCACCGACCAAGGCAGGCCGGGCTCGCAAAAAGAGTAAAGCACAAACACCGCCCGTGCCAGCGCCAACAACCGCTTCGGTATCGTCAACAACAGCCCGCAAGCGCCCATCCAAGGCCCAGACCAAATCGTCAGGTGCCAGCGCGGCTGCGCTTGCACCCACTGATCCCAGTCCAAGCGTATCATTCGATGATCTCGACGTTGCGAAGTTGAAGGCCTTGGAGCATGAGTTGATGCAGACGGCTTTGGACTTTGAGCTTCCCTCCACGACAGGTGGTGCAATGGATGCGCCGATTGGTTCTTCGGCGGCTGGCTCGTCTGCTGCCGCTGCCGGAGGTGAGGGTGATATGGATGTGATGGATCTGGCAAACATTTTTGGTGATCTACCGGATCTGAGTCCAGAGGACTTGGCCATGTTTGAGTAGTAGAAAGTGCGGGAGCCTCGGGTGCTTGGCATGTGCAACAATGAACACACCCTCAAACCAAGTACTTTCCGGTTTGTTTGGGTTTTCGGAACCCGCCACATAGAAGACATCTTGACTTTTGAAATTAACAACAAATTGTGCACCCCTCAGTGCATCATTTCCGCTTAGTTTTGGAAAATTTTTGGGTAATTTTTCTTTATTTAGCCAACATTATGATTATGATCTTTTGTCCTAGTGCTGGCTCGTTGAGCGGGGACGAGGAGCCATACCAGAGACGACTGGCGCACATGGCTTGAACAGCCGAACAGAACACGAACAAGTTCATGACGGTCGATTTGTTGATGCTTGGTTGATTGTTCAAAATGAAAGTTCAATTCACGTGTCAATGCTGCTGTCAAGTCAAGTCAGCACGGCCCGCAAGTCGAAAGCATCAAGCCAACAACAAATGAATTAGATCAAATCAAACAATCTCTCGTCACGAGGTTGAAGCGTGTGCTGGTGATGCCCGAACGATCCCTAAGGGGCCACGGGCACTCTAGGGGCCAAACACGCAATGGTCAAAGACGCGGCTCCAAACTTGGGGGTTAGGCTTGATTGAGGCCTTGAGATCAGCAGGAAGGTCCCATGTCTCAGGAGGCGGCAGTTCAACACCTAACAATTCATCACAAATATACACGTGTGAGGAGTTCACCTCTGCGTTCAAAGCGAGACGAAAGAGAGTGTGATCAGGTTTAGGGCAACACCGTCGAAGGCGCAGCAGTCGTACCAAGGGGTTGGGCCCCGCAGTACTGGCGATTGCCGGGCTTGTCCAAATATTGCTGCGATCACGTATACCCGTCATTGGCGACAAACAGGCATGTCATGTTGAGATGCTGCTTCGTCAGAACGCAACATATCAAGCCCTGGCTGACGCAACAACCTGATGATAATCTTCGGCATAGTAGAACGTGGGTTCGTCGAGAATTTCTGTCTTGATCGAGCCATGGCCTTGGGCAGAAATCGCTTTCTATGAGGTCGACGATACAGCGGTCACCACCAGTGCCATCAGTGAGGAAAAGAATGATTTGCCTGCCCAGAACAACCAGAAGCACGACAGCCCAGGGCCCGTGGAGGTCAAGCAAAACTCAAACACGCCATCTCTGTGACACTCAAAATACACACGGGAGGAGGCAAACAACGATAGTCACCTGGTAGGCAGCCTTGGCTGCTTCAGCTAGCACGCGCTGCTCCTCCGAATTGACGTAGAGACCGGAGCGGTATTGCGTGCCGACATCCCCACCTTGTCCGTTGCCCTGGGTCACGTCATGACTCTCCCAGAAGGCCTTCATTACGTCGACAAAGTGCAGCTGACGATTTGGGGGATGGTCAATGAAGATAGCATAAGGCAAGGGCGGCGAAGTGGCATGGGCTACGGGGCAGGTGACAGCATAGCCGCCCTTGCCGGTCTCGCTCAGCTCACCTTAGCCGGGTCCCAAACAACGAGAACGACTTCATTGTGGTTGGTGAGACCAGTGCAAACCTCCTTGTAGGTCGGGTTGGGCGTATCGCCACCGGTGTAGCCCACCGCTGTCGTATACACGCCCGGCAAGCGCTTGTGGAAGACCCGCTCCGTGCCTATGCCCATGTTTCCATCGCATGCACACACAGCCACAAGCAGACAAACGGCGATGAATACGCTTCTTTTCAACTTTTGAGGATTAGCGTTGAAGCGGGGAATCAAGAGGGCTCACTCGAACCAACCCCAAAAGCAACCAGTGCCGAGAACCAGATGTTGAAAGCCATCCGGGAAGGGTGGCTTGATGGGATTCTTGAGAATGAAGTGTTCGTTGGCGACTTTCATAGGTTCATCACGGCCCGGTAATGCCTCTTCTTTGGGCACACGCTCAGCCTTCTCGCGAAATGAGAACATGGTTCGGCGTTGCTGCGTTGGAGGCAGACTCGTAAAGGACAAAGCCGGGCTCCAAATGCCTTGGTTGACGCCAGCTTCTGGGGCAAGTACAGCACTGGCACTGGGCAGCGTTGACGTCCAGCGAAGCGCGAGAGAAGCTGCAACCAAGCAGGGCAACACGGGTCTTTGCCGGGCACAGGTACCGAGCCGATTCGCAAGAGAGGAACGCAGGCCCGCTGCCACCGTCGGTCCGAGCATACGTCCAGTGTCGAGCAAGCAAACTCTGAGACGTCTGCCCTGCGGAAAACCAAAACAAGATTGCGGTGAGAAGGCCGTTCCACGGCTTGCCAGCGCAGTCTGGTCTTTTTCCCTGACCCTTCACACACAGACACACAGACACACAGACACAAACACGCCGATGTGTGATGGACAAGACCAGGCCGCGAGCGACTGGGCGACAGGGCAACAGCGGATGGACGATCACTTGATCGCGCAAGGACTCCACCTCCAGTCGATGATTCACGAAAGAAAATGGCTGAGATACTTCTACGATAACTCTTCAATTGACGACAATATCGTTTATAAAAACAGTTGTTGAACATTTAACACGGTAAAGGAACTTCGTTAACTTTGGAAGTTACTTCATAAAGCAACAAAATAACAATGCCCCAAAATTTGGATGAAATGACTTTTTCTCACTTTGTGGAGAGATGACGACAACGCAACAAATTATGATCAGAGAGTGTGTGTGACCATTCGAACATGGTGCTATGGGAGAGAGAGAGAGAGAGAGAGAGAGAGAGAGAGAGAGAGAGAGAGAGAGAGAGAGGGAGAAGAGAGAGATGGAGTGTGTCTGTTGGGGGCTGGTTGTTGGAGGGAAAGGAGATCAGAGTCAGGGGTGGAGGCCTTTTGTACTTGGGATGGATTGAAGGTGAACCAGCTGCTCAACAACTCATGTCGGACGCTAGACGGACGGGTGCCAGCTCGGCGCATCTCAGAAGGCACCAGCACTCCGTCTCGCCTGGATCCGACTGGTCCGTCTTTATAGAGAGCGGCTGCGATGGGCAGCATGCGCAAAAGGATTCTTCCTCTTCGTGGCGAGAAGCAAAATAACATGTACAGTCGACTCATTTAAGACTTTTTGTTCCTTAGCGGTGGCGCTGGGAATTGCGTTGTGAGTTGCGGTTGGGTCCAACCTTGCGCCCGTTGACCACAGCCATGTGGTGCATCGTCTTCATCCAGTTTTTGATGAGGCGCTTGCGGCTGTCTTGATCCTATCAGATCACACGACGAGTACGCGTTACTCAAGCCCCCCCCAGCCGTGCGCTTGATGAGGCCAGTCATAATTCGGGTACAGATGAACGTACATTTTTCAAAACCTCATCCATGTATAGTACAGTGCCCGTGTGATAGCGCACAGCACTGTGATAGTGGAAAGAGGCGAATCTGCATACACAGCGCGGTTGGGTCGAAATGAGTTGAAATTTCGAGAGCTTTGCGTCCCGGACAAGGGATACAGTTGCGTCCAAGCCACAGGTCAGGCCCAGGCAGCCCAGGTGCACAGGCACATACCCCATGACGATGAGAAGAGGCACCAAGAAGGCAGGCTGGGTCAAGAAGTTAACAAAGGTGACTAGCCAACTGGGACCGCCATGGATCCATTCTTCCATTACATCCCAAGGCGAACTGGTGCCCCGGAAAGGGGTACAATCCGGGGACGGCTCAAACCACAACATCACATAGCCCACCAAGCTGGCGGACAAGAGGAGAGTCAGCATCAAAAGTTGGAGTGAAAAGGTGTCGCCACTGCGGAAGCGGTAGGTCTTGTCCTTGGCCCAGGGTTCCAGCAGGGCCAACAGCAGCAACCCCTTGATCAAAATGAGCACCATCGTGGAAAGCAAGCCCATGATGGCGCCGTAGGGCGAGAAGAATAGCATAATCCAGACCAGGGCTTGATTATACAGCAGGTCCATTGTTGACTTGCCCAGCTGGAATGTGGGTCGTCCCGTCACAGACTGCATTTTAAACGCCATCGCAGTCACGAATCCCATCTTTTCTTCTTGATTTGACGGTGCAGCGTTGGTGCCAGTGGTCTCGGGTTTGTCTTTGTCTGTAAACTTGGTCAACAGGAAGCGGCCCCCATCACCGCTGTTTTGGCGTGCATTGAACAAAGGCGCCGCCAAAAAGGCACACGAGGGAGATAAATACGAGCATGCCAAACAGGGTGGTCAGCGAGGCGCAAAGTGACTGCGGCGTGGCACCACTCGGATCGGGCTTGTCTCACGGTAGTTCTGGTATAAACGTACAAAAGTGTGCTGACAGCCATGAAAACTGTGTTGACGAGCATCAGGGCATACAGCTCCCGCCCGACGTTGGTTTCCCAGCACTATCAACCCGTCATAATCAAACATCAAAGAGGCGAAGAGCATAGAGCGCAAACACAAAATTGAACCGAGCAAGTGAGAGGGTCTGCTGAGGTTGGAAGCCGCCTGGGCATCTCATCTTGAGAGCAGAGCACAAACCGTGAATTCATCTCCATTGGACAATGTGCGGGAGGTCGATGTCTCGAAAGCCGCAGAAATGATGGAGTAAATGGCGGCAATTCGCGTTAGATATGAGCTACCAAGGGGTAGGAGAGGCAAGAAACAAGCCAGGCGGTGAGAGCATGAGTACCGTTCAAATATGTGACAAGCTTTTGGGCGCACCCCGAAAGAAGACAAACACCAAGCAGAAATGCAGAAGCAAGCTGACACCATGCCTACCGAAAAATCAGCAGCTTCATCTTGATGGCTGGGTGATAATACTCAAAGTCACCCAAAAACTGCGTGATACAAATGGCAGACGCGCAACTGAGATCCGCACGGCATACTTGAGGATCTCAATCAAATACGTACGAAAAACGCATTGGGCAGCAGTGATGCTCCGGCAGAGGCCGTCAAGGGCGTGGCCAGCTGACCCCAAAAGCTGGTCGAGTTGCGATAGTACTATGACGCGCCAACGGCAGTAATCGTCAACAGCAGCGACACGCAATCGCAGCCACGAGGATAGCCTTGCAGGGCACATACATCAGCCATGTAGACCAGGAGGTAAGCAAAGCCTCCGATCAGGCCGAGCAGAAAGGTGAATATTCCCAGACGGGATAGAAACAAGTTGATAATCTGGCCCACAGTTTGCTCTTCCGACTTTTGCGCCAGCGCCTCTTCGCGGCGGCGCTCCGACAGCATTTCCTGACCAAGGGGGAGCCAGCCGTGATGCGCAGTCAGAGCCGAGGTTTGGATCCTGTGAGCAAGCGAGTCCGATTGGTTGGGGGGCGAGACGAACCGTAAATTTGGTGCGGATGAGTTCGCGCTGGCCCTTGGCGCTTTCCACCACTGAAATGTTATGATCCCACGACGAGAAGAGCACCACTAAAGAGATAATTTTTTTTGGACATTGAATCATGAGCCCCAGTCGCGAATGCATAAATCATGCCTCAAAAGCAAAAGTCAAAGATTGCCACGCGAAACGTACAGCTGTATTGGTACACGTTGGTTTCTTGAAGATCAAACGCAGACTCCACCTGTTGATTGCGCATGTTCATGACCAGGAGCAGGGCTGAGAAGAGGTAGCTGCCGAGAACCATCAGCATGTAGACCAAAGGCATGCGCCAAGGTGTGCCCTGGAGACCGATGGTGGTGAGTGTTGACGGCGCACAGCAGAGCCGTTGTAACGCAGGTCACACGAGACCCGGATCAGCATGATGGAAAAGGCAGAACACAATATGAAGATGAAAAAAGTTATGCAGATGCGTACCGAGTAGCGGAGAGTCTCGTCCGTGTAGGCGCCAATGTAGAGCGTGGTATTGAGAAAGTAGTTGTCGCCAGTGAAGATGTCCTCGGCCGAGAATGGCAGCTAGGGATCGTTGGAGCGCCGGTGAGACAGCTGACAGCATACCAGAGGCAAGGTGGGGCAACGCACGCACCATGGGTGGCAGGCCGTCAATGACTTGTGGAATGATGAGGAAAAAAAGGGCGAGCAGACCGAGAACCAGGTTCAGGCCAAGCGTCCAACGGGCCAGCAAAAAGAATTCAAAGATGGTATTGCCAAATCGACTCTCGATGGATCGGAACCATCCTTCAAAGGGCTTGAAGAGCGCAACGGTATTTCGCGAGTCGGTTTTGAAGAGATTCCACCACAGCCGGATGCGAATGTGTATGCTCTGTGCTCAAATTCATCGATGCATGGCACAAGACGTTGAACAGCGGCGAGAGCAGGGGGTGAGATTGCTCTGGTCCAATACAACAAGGCACAGTGATGCCGGGTGTTGGCCACACCTGCCAAGTCCCGGGGTTGGAGCGCAAAAGGCGGTACATTTCTTGCCGAGATTGCTCCTGATGGGGAAAGACGACAACAGGATCAGGCCATGCATGAAATGAGTTCTTGTAACACGAACCAAAAGACGCAGTGGAATCCCGAGGTCCAGTATGGTCCCACGATCCATGATAGCATGTGCGATGGGTGCTTTCTTACGGCCAGCTTGAGCTGTTTGAAGCGGGCCTGACGTTCACGAGAGCTCGCCTCATCCACGTGATCTCGACCCGTCTGTGCCACATGGTGCACGATGGGTCATGAGCAGAGTAGCACCAGGGGAACGAGGAAAACTGTGCCAGAAGACAGGCGGAAGAGACATACTGCACGAAAGGCACGGTATAAGCGTTGCTTGTTGTTGCTGTACTGGTTGAACACGTCCTGGGCGCGCTTGGGAAAGTTGAGACAGCATTCGTTGACGCCGTTGCGATGCAACTGACCCGGGCAGTACCACTCGTAATCTGCCACGAGAGCTGAGGAGATTGGTTAAGATTCACTGATCAGAAACGAAGACGCTCTGTGCGCGCGCGCGCGTGTGTGTGTGTAAAGACAAAAAGAGGGACTCAAGCAGGCGTGATATGGAGAAAGTTATCGACGCCTTGAAGCGAGGCACACCTGCAGCGATGGGGTCCCGGGCAGAGCGGTGAAGGGTGTCATCGTCAAAGGTCTGTCGCCGAGCCAGCGTCTACCGTGCAGCGGTCCGACTCGAGTCAGCAAGATTCGGAAAAAACCACAAACAAAGCTTGCACCAAAAAAAAATGCGTTGCGCAAAAGAAGGATGAGTCAAAGTAAAGGAAAAAAAAAAAGGGCTCGAACTGCTTTTGAACCTTGGTGAGGGTGCCATCGTGTTGGACCTGTGGGCAAGAAAATGAGTCGGGTGCAACCCGTTTCGAGATGCGAGTGGAAATGAGCGTGTGGCAAAGTGATCATGACCATTAGACGTACAGCCGATTGCACGGGATTTTGGAGCTCGTGCATGCGGTCGTGAATGTTGTTCAGGACAGGTCTCTCCACTTCGTTCACAATCGCTTGGCTGAGAGGACGGCGTACAGGGGTGGGGTGGCAAATGAGATCCGATCGCGGAAGGATACGCAAGCAAACAGGGTCGATTGGCTATGGGGAGGGTCGGCAGCTGACACGTACATCATGCGCACACGTTCACGTCGGCGCAGCTCATGGAGCTTTGAGCCATCGCCAGAAGCACCCTTGTTCTTTTTGCGTTTGCGTCGACCTTGATTGCGCTTGCGCGCCATGGTTTCATCAAAGGCAGTCGCAAGCATGGCAGCATGCAGGCCCATATTGTTTTGGGGTGGCTTGGGTCGCGCTGCAGCAATGTGGGCCAAGGCTGGACGAGCGGACGAGGCCACCTCGGATGCGGGTGGCTGTCGGGTCGCCGTCGGGTGGGTGATGTGAATGGACAAGTTGCACGGTGAATATCAATAAACACATGGGAGACAGATGGCGCGCGCAAGCATTCGGCTACCTTGGCGTTGAATTGGTCTTGCGCATTGAGGTTGAGTTCATAGACGCCTTGTTCAGCCGGCTGCTCGACTTCGAGGAGGTTGCCTAGGTACAACAGGGATAGGCTTTAATCTAACCCCAAGAGCATTGACGCAGCCTGCATGCAGATGCGTACCTGAAGCTGAGATGGGCTGTGCCCGGTTCGACGATGCTGCGTCCAGAGTTGAAGGCGGCAAGCGAGATTGGGAAAAAGACGAGCGTTGAGGTTGAGAAAGAAAAGAAAAAGAGAGCGGCGGGGGCACGGGCAGCTTGAGCGAGTGTCTGTGGGGTCGACGTACATTTCGGACCCGGAAGCGGCGAGCCTTCCATGGTTGTGGGCTCGTTGTGCGGGACCAGGCTGGTCATTGGGGGACCGGTTCGAGTTGAGGGGCCCCGTCGCAGGGTTTCCTCGTCGGAATCTGTCCTATTGGTGCCAGAACACGGCACAGCGACATGGAAGAAGAGCAGGATAAGGATCCAGTCAGCGCAGGGCCAAGGGGGTGGCGCACATGAAGCGTTGTGCCGAGTGAGGGGGCCTGTGCCTACGGCTTGTTTGGACGTACATGTTGCTACTCTGAGGGGAAAAAGACCAGGGCGATTGGAGGTCAAAAACACGCCCTTGCTTGACGCGGGTCTGCCGGGGCACGAAGCCGTCTGTGGTTGGCGGCGGAAAGCGCCACCCGGCTTTGAAGCAGCACTGCCCGAGGACTTCAGCTGGGGTGTTGATGATCTGATGAACCACGACAGGCGACAAAGAGAGAGAGAGAGAGAGAGAGAGAGAGAGAGTTTGAGAGAGAGAGAGAGAGAGGCGGCGTCGCCAAATTGATGCAGTCAAACATCAAAATTCAAGGGGATTGGCGATGCAAGCAGACGCCCAGTGACTGAAGATCAAGCCAAACCAGAGACTGTAGTAGTAGCTGTCTTTTCCTTTTTTTGAATGATGTTTGCCTGCCCGCCCCTTAATGTCAGAATCCTTCACCTGCGAAAAATTGTATAGTTGAGAGCCGCCTTTTCATGCCACATGCATAGCGAATTGTACAAACGTCACCCCTTTTGTCAGCATTTTGAGAGAGAGCGGCGCCATTTTTGAGACGAGAGGGAGGGTCATGGCTGCCAAGATGGCCAAGACCACGGCTGCCATCACCTTTGTGACGGGGAATGCCAAGAAGCTGCAGGTAGAGAGACAGCGTGCTAGATGCTGTGTGTCATGCAACGGTTGCTCGGGGTTCCAGTGTGCTTCACGGTGATGGCCGTGTTTTTTTTTTTTTGGCGCATAGGAGGTGCAACAGATTTTGGGGCAGGGCTTCCCCTTTGAGTTGACCAATCGCAAGATTGACTTGCCCGAGTTGCAGGGCGAGCCGGAGGATATTTCCCGCGAAAAGTGCCGCTTGGCTGCCGCCGAGGTACGCGGCAACGTCAATGGTTTTAGCGAAAAGTTGATCCTGACACTTTCCTTGTCTGCGTGCGCGTCTTGACCTTTGACTACCATGTCATAGGTGAAGGGTCCCGTGATGGTGGAGGACACCTCGCTCTGCTTCAACGCCCTTCACGGTTTGCCCGGCCCTTACATCAAGTGGTTTCTCGACAAGACGGGGCATGTCGGGCTGAACAACCTGCTGGCTGCCTACCCTGACAAATCGGCTTATGCCCAATGCATCTTTGCTTTCACCACCGGACCTGGTGCTGAGATTCAGACCTTTGTCGGCCGCACTGAGGGCAAGGTACGATTGTGCCAACTGGCACTTCCAAACTCAACTTTGCATGTGCATGCAAATGTCTGCTTGCGCACCCCAGGACACCTTGGCTCCTCTCTGTATTCACTGTCTTGTCAATCGCTCCGTTACTCCTGTGCCTTTCAGATTGTGCCGGCACGGGGCCCCACCGACTTTGGATGGGATCCCGTCTTCCAGCCCGACGGGTTTGAAGAAACCTACGCAGAGATGGACAAGACCATCAAGAACAGCATCTCCCACCGTGGTCGCAGCTTGAGTGCTTTGTGCGCGTACTTTGACACTCACAAGGCCGAGCTCGAGAAGCAACTGGCAGCTTAGAACGAACAAAAAAAAGAAGATGAAAATGGAAGCATACCAATCTTCAATTTTGCTTGCCCTCTGCCATGCCCTGCCGTTTAATCGGCCTCCACCACCACAGCCACACAGCCCCCCCCACACCCGCACATCGCCGCCCCGATGTGGCCAAGAAATCGCATCTACCAACCCCCCAGAAAAGCTGACATTTCCACTTTTGCTGACATCGATCCGCAATTTACTAAAAGAATAGAGCGATTTATTCATCTTCATTTATATTCCGTATCCAAGTCTTCTAAATATAGGGCGTTTGATACTTCGGCGGGAAAATTTGAAAACACAAGTTTCTGGATCGATTTTGAGCTTTGGATGGTATTTTCGCTCGCTCGTCCGGCAACGTCTCATGCGCACGTAGCGTCGGCCGGCATCGCTCGTCGTCGTGTTCGAGTCGAACCTGCGCCATGGCGACGGTTCCACGCGCCACGTGGGCATCGTCCCCCTTGCGCACCATCAATGGTGCTGAGCCCAAGACACCAACACAAGGCTTAAAGGCCAAAGATCAGGTCGTGGCCTCACCGCCCACAGCTCGCGACACCGTCCTCTTGATCCTCACGGAAACTCAGTGCCCCGAAGCCGTCGACTTTGGCAAGGTAATGCATACTTTCTTCTGTGAAACACACTGTTTGTCTCCATCCTCAATTTGCTTTGGGCTTCTTCAGAAGCAGCAGCCATGTTCGAACGCCTCATGCCCCCCTCGGCCTTTTTCGCAGGTCAACATGGGGGAGCAGGCTTGTGCAGTCTTGCGTGTTGAAAATCCCAGCTTTGCCGGCGTCACCGTCTCCGTGGACCGAATGACTGCCAACAAGGGTCTTAGTTTGAGCTGGCCTGAGCTCAACAACGCGTACGTTGGCCTTGATTACACCTCTCGTAATTTAATCATCACCGCTTTTCGATGCTTGGTTCTCAACGCTCGGGCTGCGAACGACTGCTACAGGGATGATGGGTGCGAGAAAGTCTTTTTCATCGGCCCACGCGATGCCGTCGACGTGGAAATCTCCTGGCAGACGCCCAGCATGTCCTCATCCCAGGCCATGCGAGCTGTCATTAATCTCTCCTCGGGTAGGCCCCCGGGTCGCTCGTGGTGACAGCCCCTGCACACCAACCCGCGCATCCTTGTTGAGGACCGCTCTCACTCATTGACATGTGCACCACGCATTTTTGCCCCTCTTGTGTAGAGGGACGTCGCTATCAGATCAAGACAACGGGCATTGCTTTTGTGCCTAGCCCCAAGAAGTCTTACAAGGCTCGGCCCGTTCCCAAGTCGCACGCGCAGGGCTTTCGAATTCAAAAGCCCCGCACCTCGTCACCCCAGCCACGACTGAGCATCAGTCCACAGACAGGCCGAATCAAAAACAAACTGGCACTAAATGAAATTCGTCGCAAGGTGAGCAACGCATGCTCATGCTTCTACGATACGGCCGTTCGTCTCATGCACCCTGCCGGCCGTCCACAGAACAAAGATCAGCAGGAAAAGCTGGCCAAAGAAAACGAGGCCCCCATTCCCGCTGCCAAGTCGTTCTTGCGGGCTAAATCCCGTGCCTCAATTCGCCGTCTCAAGTCTGGTGCCAGCACTGAAGCTGACAAGCCTGCAGTCGGCGTGGCCATGCGATCGCTCTCGCTCAAGCGTGCTGCAAAACCGAGCGATCAACCCAAACCCGCCCACAACGTTTTTGCCGCTGTAAACATGTATCACGATGACGACTGGGCCACGAAGCAGACTGCCGGCTTTACTCGGTGGGTCGCCACATCTTGACTGTTTTACACCTTCATTGCACACCCAAAAACGCTGTATGCACCCGTCACTCACCAGCCTACTTGACGTGATGTCCAGGTGGTTAAACCATATCTTTGCTGGCGATGACGAGCTGCTGCCCTCTTCTGAACGGCGCCGGCGCTGGCTGCAACACCAGGGTCGAGCCATGGCGCACTTCACTTCGGCACCGGTGCAAGACGTCCTGCAGCGTGTCAACGGTGAAATCGAGTCGGGACACATTGCCATCCGTGAGGATCGAGCCCCATGGGCCGATGTGGGTCTACGCGAATCCATCATTGGTGCCCTGCTCTCTTTCTCCAACTCGTATCTGCAACTTGGTATCGAAACCGTCTTCGGCGTTTCCCTGGCCCCCTTTGCCCGAGACGACGATGATGGACAACGTCGTATGCTTGCCAGCTTTTTGGCTAACCGACTTCTCTTCAGCCCTGAGCTTGCCGCACAACATGCTCATCCCGCGGTGCCTGGATCCTACACCGCGGAATTCGAACCCCAACTCAAACAATACACGCTCAAGCGTTACCTGGCGCTGATCTTCTTTTTGGATCAGGTGATTCATGGGTGTTCCACTCCTGTTATATGCAGCTGGCACTGTGCCATCAAACCTGTGCTTGCTTGCTTGTTTGCTTGCTTGTTTGTGTGTCCCGTTCAGACGTGCCGCTAAGCACAGATGGCCATGTAAAAGCTGCATATTTATTGCATGTCTGTTCATGAGCACTTGCTTCTCATCAACTCATTTCCGCTGTCATACCTGCTTGGATTTTGATTGATGTCGGGTTTGTGTAGATCAAGAGTGCTCAGCTGCTGGGTCCTGAATGTTTGATGTTTGCCAAGGGAAGCGAAGTGAAGGCGACCAACGAGTTTTTGGTCCTGCTTTCGCGGGAGTTGCTCAAAGGAGAGGGTGACGTTGTCAAGCATCTCAGCTATCTCGGCTATGTCGTTCAATCTCGCCAGACGTACCTGGATGAGTACAATTTTCAGGTAAATGCTTAAACCCACGCCCTCAGAGTTTGTCTTCCAAGCCCGCCATTACGACTCACTCACAACGTGTTATGCCGGTTGACCTGGGTTTGGTTCCAAACAGGTGACTAATCTAGCTGAGGACCTGCGTGATGGTGTGCGCTTGGCCCACCTGTGTGAGCTGTTGCTTGCACAGCGCGATGGGACAAGTGACCTTATGTCCAACTTACGCACGCCAGCCATCAGTCGTCTCCAGAAGGTCCATAACGTCAAAGCCGTCTTTGAGACGCTCAAGGTACGGCCCAAGGCTTCATCCCGCGGTGCACCCCAGCTCTCATTACCTTTTCTTATGCTGAACATTTTGCCACCTTTTCTGCTTGCAGCGCCACGGCTGTCTTCTTCTTGAATCTACCATCAACCCAGTTGTGGCTGGGCATCGTGAGCAGACCCTCAATGTGCTTTGGCGCATCCTTCTGCATTTCAAAATTCACGACATTGTGGACACGGAGCGATTGACTCAAGAGATTGCCCAACTCAAGCGTGATCCTAGTTACCGCCAGCTTGATGAGCAGCGTCGTGTCTCACAGGGAGAGATGTACGTCAATTCACCACACCTGACTCTTCTTCTGCAGTGGGCTCGCCTGGTGACACTGCGCTATGAGGTTCCTGTGAGCAACTTTGCTAGCTCTTTTTCCGATGGGCGTGTGCTCTGCGCATTGATTCATCACTACCACCCCGAGTTGTTGGCCATGGAGGACGTGGAGTTTGAAACGACCTTGACGGTGCAGGAGGCCGCCACAACTTACGACAACGATCATGCTGTCCTGGAAGAAGGTGCACACGGATTTGCTGCCGCTTACAGCCCGGGGACCAACACGCTCGGCGGCCGCACTCGCCAACAATTGCTGGCCAATGAACGACACAATTTCAAGCTGCTCAGTCAGGCCATTAAAGCCATGGGTGGTGTGCCTCTTCTTGCGCGCTCCAGTGAATTGAGCGGGACGCTGCCCGATGAGAAGGTCGTCATTGCTTACGTGGCCTACTTGGCCAAGCGTCTGCTCGACATTAGCGTGGAAGCGCGTGCAGCGCTTGTTATCCAGCGCTGGTGGCACGCCCTGGTTCGCAGCCGTACAGCCGCTCGTCAGGCGGCACACGCCAAGGCCTGTGATCATGCAATTAGTGAACATCAAAAGCGACAATACACAGCCGCTTCGCGCATCCAAGCTGTGGTACTCGGGTGGGCCGCGCGCCAGGAGATGCAACGCCGCCATCAAGCAACGACTCAGATTGCCACTTGGTGGCGAGCTCATATTCAGCGCCGACACTTTCAGCAGTTGCGTGCCGCTACTATCGTGCTTCAAAGCAATATTCGCTGCATGCTCGCCGCTCGTCGCTTTTCCACAGTACGGCATGGCATCCAACGCCTTCAAGCCGTCCTTCGTGCTCGTGCGGCCACTTGTGCCTGGCACAAGACGCGAACTGGCGTACTCCACATTCAAAACTTCATGCGAGGTGCCTTGTCCCGACAGCAGTTTGCATTGGCTTGTGCCCAGCGAGAATCAGCGGCTATGGCACTGCAGTCACGCTGGAAAGCCATTTTGCTGGGACGTTCAGCTCGGCAAACATTTTTGAAGCAGCGTGCAGCTGCCAGGACTCTGCAGCAGGCCGTGCGTACGTGGCTGTGGCGTCGAAAAGAGCAGGTGGCAGCACTGGAAGCTAACAGGAACACAATTGCAGCCACTCGCATCGCTGCTTGGTGGCGTATGAATCACGCCCAGCGCAAGTACCAGACTGCGCGAACTTCTGCAGTTGTGCTGCAGGCTGCTTGGCGTGGCACGCTGGCTCGCGCCAGCCTTGCTAACAAACACGAGGCAGCCGTGCGACTTCAGGCCATTGTACGCATGTTTTTGGCTCGCCAGCACGTCCTCGGCATGCACCAAGCTGCGGTGTGCTTGCAGCGTGTGATGCGAGGTTGGCACGCGCGACAAACCATCATGGCTCTCAAAAGGCAAGAGATGCACGCTCGCTCGGCGTTTGATAGCGTGATCATCGAGCTGAAGTCTGTATTGCATCAACGTGAGGCAGCACGAGCTTCCCAATTGGCGGAGTTTACAGCCGCATGCTGCTTGCAGCGTGCCTTCAAACAATGGATTTTTCGTGAGAGAGCGCGCCAAGCTCGTGCAAAGTTATGGCAGCAGCAAACGCGCGCAGTGGTGGTGCTTCAGTCAGCGTATCGTGCAGTGGTGGCTCAACGACGAGTCCAGGCTCTTCGACAGGCGCGTGCTGCCATCGTACTCCAGTCTCAAGTTCGTATGTTTTTGGCTCGCAAGCAGTACCTTCAGTCGCTTAGCCACTGCTGCTGAAGCACAGAAGCAGCAGACGATGGCGTCGCTGACGATTCAGCGCGTCGTGCGGGGCTTTATGGCTCGTCGTCAGACCCAGCGCTTGCGTGTGGAGCGCCAGCAGCAGACGATGGCGTCGCTGACGATTCAGCGCGTCGTGCGGGGCTTTATGGCTCGTCGTCAGACCCAGCGCTTGCGTGTGAAGCGCCAGCAGCAGACGATGGCGTCGCTGACGATTCAGCGCGTCGTGCGGGGCTTTATGGCTCGTCGTCAGACCCAGCGCTTGCGTGTGAAGCGCCAGCAGCAGACGATGGCGTCGCTGACGATTCAGCGAGTCGTGCGGGGCTTTATGGCTCGTCGCCAGACCCAGCGCTTGCGTGTGAAGCGCCAGCAGCAGACGATGGCGTCGCTGACGATTCAGCGAGTCGTGCGGGGCTTTATGGCTCGTCGTCAGACCCAGCGCTTGCGTGTGAAGCGCCAGCAGCAGACGATGGCGTCGCTGACGATTCAGCGCGTCGTGCGGGGCTTTATGGCTCGTCGCCAGACCCAGCGCCTAAGGGTTCAACATGTTGCTGCAACGAAAATCAATGCACTGGTTCGTGGCTTCATGGCACGTTGCCATGCGCGAGAGTTGCGCGACACCCTGGAACGTCAGCGTGTGGCTGCTGTGTGCCTGCAAGCCGCCTATCGTGGCTGGCATGCACGCGCGCTCATGCGTCGCCGTCGTCAGGAGGTTGCAGCTGCCACCAAACTGGTTGCCGTGTGGCGTGGCATGTTAGCACGACGTGCGTATCGTGCTGAGTTGGCCGCTCGAGCCTATGCCCGCAACGCTGAGCTAGTGTGCCGTGCCCAGGCAGTAGTGCGGGGATGGCTCGCTCGGCGCCATCTTGTTCGGCAAAAAGCGGCTGCCATTACTATTCAGCGGGCTTTCCGAGAACGACGCGAGGCTTTGCAAATCCTTCGTCAAAGCCGTGCAGCCACCTCCATCCAGGCCAGCTGGCGTGCTTATCAGACGCGTAAAACCATGAGCCGCAAGCTCAAGGAAATTGCCAAGCGCGTGCGCTATCTCGCCGCAAACACCGAGGAGTGCATGAAGCTCGGCAACCGAGCTCGTAGTGCCCTTGAAATTTTGTTGACTCATCAAAAGCTGACATTTGTGCTCAAGGCCGTAAAAACGCTATGCATCGTGACCAAGCTCTCGCCAGAGTGTTGCCTGCAATTGGTGGAGCAAGATGATGCCGTGCGTATTTTGATGGAGCTCGTCAATGCTTGCAATCGTAGCAAGCCCCACATGGTCCTGTTGGAGTACACTTTGGCCATCTTCCAACACTTGTTTCAACATGCCTCAACACGAAGTGCAACTTTTACAACCACAGAGAGCATGGTGGTACTTGTCGAGTTGCTGCAGATGTATCGCGACAAGGACAGCATTTTCTTTCCTGCCTGCGATCTTTTGCTCTCCTGCTGTCAGGATGCCACACGTTGTGCTTTGTTGAAGCAGAATGCCCCCGCTGTCGCGCGCTTTAACGGTATTGTGCGCTTGCTTGAGGTGCGTTTGCTCTTGGGAACGCTTTCGCTCGCAGCTTTATGTGTTGATTCAACTCAGGCTGCATTGCTACGGGCTTGTGCTCATCTTTGCATTTGCCTTTGAATCCGGTTTGATTTTGTTCTGCTTAGCGCAAGGCCCAGGTAGCTCAAAAGAGTCGACGGGGGCCCGTTGCACCTGCTGCTGCGGCTGCCCATGACAACCTGCTGCTCACACTCAAGGTATGGCTGGTATTGTTCAGGCGCCCTGCCGGATTTGTCTTGATGCTTAGATCACAGTCTCACTTTGGCTATGGTCCGTGGTCTTGCCATCATGCATAGAAGAGCAAGGAAGTCTTAGCTTTGTTGGAGAAGGCCTGAGGTCATAGGAAATGCATGCCTAGGCCACGTTTGTGCAGAAAGAAGAGCAAGTGACGTGATAAGACAAGAAATGTTTTAAAAAGAAGAGTGCCTCGGCTTTGGAGTCGGCATGGTGGCTTTTCAAATGAATTGCATGGTGAAGTTTCAAGTGTGGCGACTTGGTGTATAGTGGGCAAGCGAAACTGTTCCCGGTCATGGCTGCTGGCTCCATGGTCGGCCGTGCGGCGACGGAGCTTGTGGAGGATAAGCTTGTGGAGGATGGGCTTGTGAAGGATAAGCTTGTGAAGGATAAGCTTGTGGAGGATAGGCTTGTGGAGGATAAGCTTGTGGAGAATGGGCTTGTGAAGGGTGGGCTTGTGGAGGATAAGCTTGTGGAGGATTGTAGGGATAAGCCTGTGGAGGATCGTGGGGATGGGTCTGTGGAGGATTGTAGGGATAGGCCTGTGGAGGATAGGCCTGCGGAGTATGGGCTTGAGGAGGATACGAGTGGTCAGCTGGGGCGTTATCAAACGGTCGGTCGAGCGACTGCGCAGGGGGTCTGGATGGAACGGGACCAGGGCCATGGTACTGATGGTGATGCACGGGCGCGTGGGGCGGGATGTAACCATGGGTGTGATTTGAAGCCAAGGGACTATACCCCTCGGGCGGCAGCGGCATGGCTGACGTGGTGGTGTTGGGCATGGGCGGGGGGTAGTGATGTTGATTTGCGCTCTGAGTGAGGGGTGTTGCGTATGAGGGAGGCCCTGCTGGTCGTGGGTTGCTGTTGGCGGGAAAGGTTGGTCGACTGGCGTGAGCGAGTGGAGCTTCTTGGGGATTGTGCGACATGAAGCGAAGAACGTGGCCAAGGTCATCGGCTGATGCGCTGATGGCCAAGTTTGCCTTCTGCTGGAGCGGGTTGGATTCCGAGCGAATGGCACCATCCTGGTCCGGGGGCAGATTATCGACTCGGGCGTACGTCAGGAGGATGGGCTGATAGTGCCTGCTCTCGATGAAGGACTTGACTTCAGGCCAAAAACCCAGGTGTTGGGTACGATGGTCATCACAGAGCCACCAGACATCCTGTTTGCCACGAACGATGGCCAAGTGGTGGGAGCTCCCATAGACCAACAGGCCCGTAAGTTCGTAGGCGATGGGCTGTGTAGCTGTGCCACCAAGCTCGACGTGGTCAAAGAGGTCGCTAGGATAGAGACGAAAGTCTATGCTGCTCAGCAGCAGGTCCAGGTCTTGAGAGGAAGCGGCGGCTTCGGACCAGGTAAGAGCAAGGTTGAGAAATGGAGGGGCGGCGCGAAGTGTCGTCGCTTGATGGCGTCTGGAAGGGGAAGCTGTACAATGCGTATAGCCGCAGGCTAAGTGACCATCTTGGATCATGCTACGTTTGAGTGCCACTCCAAAGCGCCGTGTACGGTCCTGCCGAAATTCATCCATGACGCTGGCAGCCAATACTGTCAGCATTCCGGCATGATAGGGCGTGGGGCTGGACTGTGCGCCGCACGGGCAAACCACCTGGGGCAAGGTCAAGCGGGGAGACACAAGAGTTAGCTGCGAGGCACATCACGCGACAAGGGCTGGAGGGTCGAGAGCGTCGGGACAAATACACGCCTTGGTAGCAAGGGAGAAGCCAAAGCAAGCGTGGGCTGGGCAGTTGGCTAGGGCGCAGGCAGGTAGTTGGGAGAGGCGAAGTTTGTCTTGTCGGCTACTAGTGGGAAGAGCGTCTCCCGTGGCGGCGAGGTGAATGTGGACAAAGGTCGCGTCTAGGGCATCGGCTGCATCGTCGGTGGTGTTGAGCTGAAAGCGATGGACGTGGGCATATGACATGGCGAGCGCGCGGCGCAGGCGACTGGTGGACGCCGGGACCGGTTCATCGCTATCAAGACAGGCAGCAGCGGCATCCATGCCCTCGAACACATCGCGGAGCGCGCACAGAACGCATGCCTTGGCCCGCACGGTAGAACCACAGCGGTGTGGGGCTGCAGCAATGGCCGATCTAAACGGTGTCAGGGCATACAAGAGCTGCGTGCAATACAAGTGCAGTGAGAGTGTCAACACAGAAGCTGTGAGTGGCAAAAGACTCTATGGGTGTGCGGTCGCGCAGTACCTGAACCATGGCGTTGACATAACAGCTCTGGCTACCAGCCAGGTTGTCCAAGCCGACCCGGGACATGGCGGCCCTCGTCGACACCCGAAGATGTCAAAGCCGAATGGGTTCCACCACCAACCAGCACCAAAAGTCCAGCCGCACGTCTCTTCACCGCCAACAGCATGTGTCCAGCACCTAAAATTTAGCCGCACGTTCCTTCATCCACAGCACCAGCAGCAGTAGTAGTGTAGGAGCAGTAGCAGCAGTGGTAGTGGTAGTAGTAGTGTAGTAGTAGCAGCAGCAGTGGTAGTAGTGTAGTAGCAGCAGCAGCAGTGGTAGTAGTAGGTAGCACCGGCACCAGCAGCAGCAGCAGCAGCAGTAGTAGTAGTAGTAGTGTAGTAGTAGCAGCAGCAGTAGTAGTGTAGGAGCACCAGCAGCAGTAGTAGTAGTGTAGTAGTAGCAGCAGCAGTGGTAGTAGTGTAGTAGCAGCAGCAGCAATGGTAGTAGTAGGCAGCACCGGCAGCAGCAGCAGCAGCAGCAGCAGCAGCAGTAGCTCGTGTATCGTTCACGACATCATCACATCAACTCCTCTCTTGATGCTGAGATACAAAAGTGATGACAATTTACTCTCTCTGCTTATGCCTTTCCTTTCTCTCTAACCGATTCTCTCTCTCGCTCTCTCTCTTGTTGATGGCGACTTTTGTCTCTGGCTTCCATCGTGCCTGGGCGAGTGTTTCGCCGCCTTGTCCGTGTGAGCGCGCGTATCGTGGCTGGATGCATTTATGGTGGCAAGGAAGGGGGGTCATTGGCACCAGGTCAAGCTCAAATGTCAAGGAGAGCAGCGCAAGTTTTGAAAAAGGGTGCATGTTTTTAGGGATCCAGGGACAGCATTTCAATGTTTGAGGTTGCAGGCTGGTTGATGATGTGCATGATTGAGGCAGCCACATCTTCTGGCTTGAGCATGCGCGTCGGCGCTGGCTTGTCACGCTTGCCCCCTCGCGTTGGCTGCGGATAGAGCAAGGCACAAAGTAGATCGTGAGGCAAGCGGTGGTTGGGGTGATTTGCCATGCCAGGTCTGTGCCGTCCATACCTCTGACCACCAAGGCGTGTCAACTGCTCCCGGGTTGATGGTTGCCAGCTGCACATTTTGCAGTAGCAGCGCCATCCAGGCAGCACAGTGGTGAGAAAGAAAAAAATTTTTTTTTTCCAGCGTTTCTTTTCAGTGATGTGCGTGACACATCGCACAGCCCACGTGAAAAGCCTACCTTGACACCCGAGCCTTCAAGCTCACGACGAACGGCGAGAGCCAGGCCCTATAGAAAGGCCGAGTTCACAAACCCGTTGTTCCCGGCGGGTCCAGATTTCAAGAGGAGCACGCACAGATCAGCGCGTCAGCTTTGATGCATCAGCACGGCGTACTTCAAACAAGAATGGGGATGCTACAGGTAGCCAGCCATACCGTAATGGCCCATTTGGAGGCGGAATACACAGCTCCATGAGGACAAGCGCGCAATCCAGCGACAGAGGACGTGATGACAACTTGACCCGCACTTTGTGCCCGCATGGCTGGCAGTACCTACGTCTCGGTAAATGCAAGAAATGAAATCTGTGAGCGACGAGTGCCCGGCTAAAGGCACGACCGATACGGATTTTCCCTAGCCCGTGACCCACCTGCTGCAGCCAGAGGTAGACGCCTCGCACGTTGGCATTGAACATGCGGTCATACATCTCAACTGACAGGTCCTCAACCCGCGAGCTGCCCCCACCACAGCCTAAAGTTCAACCATGTGAACGCTGAGAATCTCGCCAAAACAGACAGTTTCAACACGAAACCGTCAGAGCCCACTGGCTTTGAGCGTGGCGCGCAGCGCAACTAGCCACGTACCGGCGTTGGCCACGAGAACATCAACCCCACCAATCTTTTCAACAGCCTCTTGGTACTGGCTGGGCCACATGGAATAAAGAGCAAGGTTAGCCATGTGCTCTCTGGTGGGGGCGGGGGGCGGGACAGCGGCGTTTGGTGCGAAAAGGGGGCACAGCATACCGGGAGACATCCGCCTCGTTGCTCACATCACCGACAGACACGTGAGCCGAGGCAGCACCTGCCGCCAGGACTTCATCGGCCACAGTTTGAAGGGATGCGGCATTGCGACCCGTGATAAAGACATGGCAGCCCTGCTGGCCGAGCATGCGCGCCAGCGATGCCCCAATGCCACTGGATCCGCCTAAAAGAGCACGCGGTGAAACCGTTGCTGCCATGAGGCACGATCGTTGCAAAATCATGCACCATTCGGTGCGCCAACTACCCTTCCTGGTGCGCCACGAGCTGCCATGACATACCCGTGATAATAACTCGCTTGGCTGCCATCCTGCTCAGCGCTCAAAATCTTCGCGAAAGAGAAAAAAAAATACCAACAATGGTGTCACAGCAATAACAGTTGTATCAACGACAATAACTCATCAAGAACTTGGAGGTAAATCAAGCCAAATTACTTTCAGATCTGCATGTATTGATAATAAGCATTCAACAAGTGTTTATCAACCGCATCATGAAGGACTTTGGGATTTGGAAACGAAATCAATTTCTATCGAGTTTGCCTGGCGGTGCCCGTGCTCAGGAGGGAAAGGTGGCTCGAGAGACTCTGGAGAAAAAGAGCGAACGTGGGGCATGCTTTGGGCTGTAGTCTTGCAAGGAGATGGCTGGGTGACCCGTCGCAGACGGTGTCACTCTGCTCCAGTCATTGGAGGCTAATTCGGCATCCAAGCGGTTGTCTCTTGGTCTACTCGCTCCACAAGCGTTCGTAGAATGGCTTGTACGTGAAACTCAGCACGTCGGGGCGTTGCGCTTTCACGGGGAAGATGGTGTCGATGTAGCTGATGCCGTAGCACATCTTGGCTCGATCGTCCGTCGGAAATACCACCACACCTAGCCATGACACCGGAATAAAAAAACACACACGAATGAGGAGGCTGGCGAGCCCGATGCCACACACACACACACACACACACACACACACACACACACACACACACACACACACACACACACACACACACACACACACACACACACACACACACACACACACACACACACACACACACACACACACATACCAGCACAGTTGCGATAGATGGAACAGAGAATTTGGCATTCGTTCATGGATTTGCCACGAAACAAGTGGGCATCATTTGAATCGAAGCGAGCAAAAGCAAGGCCGTCTGGCGTGTCGGCTTGCCCCACATCTAGTCATCAAACAAGAACAAGTGAGGTGCCGGTCCACCAATCATTGATCAGGCCAAAATACGTTTGAGTACCGAGCGTATTTGGGAATCGAGGGCTGCATACCAACGCCAGCGTTGTGAGTCAGGGCAAAGTCGGTCTCAATACCCATGCGCTCCCAGGCCATGTGGCGCAGGAGCTCAATGACGGCATTATAATCCTTGGTAGCGGCGAGGTTGACGGCTTCGATGGCGGGCAGCACGCTTGCGTCCTCAGCACGATGGTCATACAGCTCATCGGCCTTTGGCTCAAGTTTGGTATCGGCTGGGATTTGCAATGTGTGCACAAACCATAAATGAGAAGCTCATGTTGAGAACTGCGGCAATGCCCTCCGATCATAATAATAATAGTAACATGCTTTTGGCTTTTGACCGAGCAAGCATGGATGCTTAAGTGCACACAACATACCTTTGTTGCTCAGGAAATCCCAGGACACCCAAGTGGTGAAGCGATATTTGGTGGTGCGAATGGAGATGCCCATCACTTGAGCCTCCTCGTTGCGGAGCTCCTTGATTTTACATTCATTTCGCGCCCAGTCCGGATAGTGTTTGGTATCACAACGTGCCGTCAGAGTAAGAGCCGAATCGCGGGCCAGGTCGGCCTCGCCGCGAACGATACCGGCCAAAGACACGCCGCTGGCTTCTTCGGGTGGAGGCAGACCGGCCAGGTCGGCAAAGGTCGGATAAAGGTCAGTCAGCTCAGCCAAAGAGGTGCTATGCACCTTGCCGTGTTGCGCCGGGTATCTTGGATCATGAATGACGAGAGGGACAAGGGCCGCCTTCTCGTAGACGAGCTGCTTCTTCCACAACCCAACTGCAGAGCAAACCAGGGGAAAAGTTGGCATCAACAGTGAATTGTTAGCGCCAACGCATCATGGGACAGGTGACCGAGGCATGCCTCCCTTTGTCCTGACTAAACAGCTCGTTGCGCAGACGAGACCTACGTTCGCCAAGATAAAACCCGTGGTCAGAAGTGAAGACAACAATCGTGTTGTTGGCCACGTTTGGGTCTGCTTCGATGGTATCAAGGACACGACCGAGTTGGCGGTCCATAAAGGTAATGCAGGCTGCAAAGGCGCGACGAAGCTCTTGCGTTACGAGGGTTGGCAAGGGGTGGGACGGCGAAAAGTCTTTGCCGGCTCTGTATTCAATGGGCGTGCCTCCTCCCAGCGTTTCATGGGTGGCCATGATGCGGGAGGTGTACTTTGATTGCGGATAAGCGTAGGCCAATGACGGATGGTCCGCGGGTTGCTGCAGGGGTTCATCCAGGCCGGGTGCAAAGTCATCGTATGTATACTCGTTCCAATCTTGGATCGGCATCATCCACGGGGTGCTGCCATGGGGGAAGGGGAGACGGATATCATGAAGAAGGGGAATAAAGACGTTGCATTGATGTCAGCCTGCAAAGTGGGGTCAAGTTTTGATGTGGGTCCAAGGCAGCACAACCACTTACTGTGGCAGTCGGAACCCGACATTGAGGAAAAAGGGCTTGTCAGAGAGCTTGAGCTCGTTTATGCTCTCGATGGCGCGAGAGGCAATCTCGTGATCCACAAAGGCCAAATCTGCGCTGTGCTCGTCGGGTGCAGCATCTGTGGTTTCCATCGAATTGGGCCAGCGGAGCATGTCAAACCATTCAAGTGTGTCCTTGAGGTCACGAAGCGGCCAGTGCGGGTAGGTCCATGAGCGTGGGCCATCCCAGTCTAGAGGGGTGGCGTCATTGCGGGTGAGTGGGCTCGTTCAGAGGCACACAACTTGTCGAACTGGGTGCTTACAGTCTGGGTCACTAGCACGGGTTGAAGGGTCAGGGTCGATTGGTTGCGTGATATTAGACATGGCGAGACGATGGCAATGAGGGTAGTGGCGTTGTAGCAGCACGCAGGTGGCGCAAGCCTCGACAGTGGCGTTTGCGGCGGTGCGTGCGGTCACGCGTGCGACAAGCATACCCGTCATGGAAGGTCTTGCCAACACCAGCTGTGTTGTAGCCCTGCTGCTTGAGAAAGCCGGGCAAGGTGGTCAGGTCTGGAAAAGCTGAGGTTCGGATGTTGGACTTGCCAGTGTAAATCTGAGGAATGTCAAAGAGCAGTAGCAAGAAGGATCGTGAGTGCAGAGCAGGTCTTTGTGGCTGTCTGATGCAAGCAAACAACGGACATCAAGCTCATGTGGATAGCGGCCAGAGAGAAAGGACGAGCGCGAGGGCGAGCAGCGGGGCCACTGCGCGTAGGCACGGCTAAATTGCAGGCCCTGAGCGGCTAGACGATCGATGTTGGGTGTTTTGTGCTCTTTGCGGGCGCTGTAATCATCTGAGACGATGAGCACGATATTTGGTAATGTTGGTTCTTCCGTTGCTGGCAAGTCTGTCGAGGTGCTGGACGAGGTGCTGGTTGAGGTGCTGGACGAGGTGCTGGTTGAGGTGCTGGACGAGGTGCTGGACGAGGTGCTGGACGAGGTGCTGGACGAGGTGCTGGACGAGGTGCTGGACGAGGTGCTGGACGAGGTGCTGAACGAGGTGCTGGACGAGGTGCTGGACGAGGAGCTAGACGAGGAGCTAGACGAGGAGCTGGTTGAGGTGCTGGACGAGGTGCTGGACAAGGAGGTTGGTGTATCGGCGCTAGGCGATGGCGCGGCTGTAGTGAAGAGCGATGCATCGCCCGACTGCGAATCCGAGGTTGGGCCCGCAGGTGTGGTTAGCGGTGCATCGTCGTTTAGGGCACCATCGCCCGAAGCATAATCTTCATCCTCTTGATCGTCTCCTCTGCCGGCGGCGTCGGCTGGTGGTGTGGGGGCTGAGATCTGGACATTGGCCAGGTGCTGAGGCATGAGGTTGGCAGGAGCGGGTCCCAGCTGTGGTGCGACGGCCTGGGCTGGGCCAGGCAACTGCAAGCACAGAAACAAGCCGAGGAGCCCCAACAGCAGGAACGCTTGCGATCCCCGAGAGCCGGTGCACAACGGGCTTTGGTTCGAGCCACGGAGGTTGTCGACCATGGCTAGAAGTATCCGGCAGGCGTAATCCCATCTGTTGGTGCGAGAGATGAGGTTGATGGCGGAACGATGCAGAGGATAACAAAATGGGCAGCGAGAGCGCGTGAGGTGTCTTGGTGTCATCACGCATGGGAGGTGCAGCTTGACGGCGGGACCAGGTGGAAGACACTCATGCCGCCTTACCGGCGATTGTTCGTCTTTTGTTGGGATGCGTAATGCGCGCTTTCGCTCACTGCAGAGGCGGCGCGTGACTGGCGCGGGTAGGGCTGAAAGCAGAGGATGATGCGCTCTTCGCAAGTATTGTGGCCACTGAGAGAAATCAACCCCTGAATCAAGGGGCCTTGCGCGCATTTATGGGGCAAGAAGGAATGGAGCGCGAGAAGGAAAGAGCTCTGGGGAGGTGAAGCCAGGAGTTGCTTGTGGGCCGAGTCTGTCCTATATTTTGTCTCCTTGTGTGGAACGGGTGGTATCGCATGCCACGGGCAACGAAGGGTCAGCCTCGGTAAAGCTTGCTTCGTTGCAAGTCGCTGTTTCTCATGTACTGTATTGTCCGCCCGCGACTGCAGTCGCGCTGCTCACCAGTTTGACCAGCCCCTTGCGCCTTTGCGCACAAAGACAAGGTGATTTCAGATAGAACAGTATTGCTGTCAATTGGATATGGAAACATGTGGCTCTTTCACCAACTCCACCTGTCTCCACCACGCCCGCCACCTGCAGATCGCGCCTTCCACCCTCCGGCCAGGCCAACGGAGCCCTTGCAAGGGTGACCGTCGCCCCGCGTCGGGTTGGGCTTGCATCCGCACTACATGCATGCATGCACATATCGCACTGAGCAACAACTTTGGAGGGGTATTATAAAATAGAAACGTGGCGCTCGATCCTTAACATCTTTAAATTGGAGGGGAGAGATGATTCAGCATCGCTGCTTGATTAAAAAAGCCACACAAAGTCCTCCAAAATCTACATGAAAATAAACGGCAAGTGTTAACAAAACTACATAAAGTCATATATAAGAACAGAGAAGACATCAGTTTACCGTTTGTGGTGATCCCCACTGCTCTTTCCCTCTCTCTGCCTCGTCCCCCTGCTCCCCCCTGCTCCCTCTCTGCTCCCTCTCTGCTCCCTCTCTGCCTCTTCCCCCTGCTCCCTCTCTGCCTCTCTCCTTTCCCTCTCTCTCTCTCTCCTTTTCCCTCTCTCTCCTTGTCTTGCAAACAACTCGTGCTTTGGCTCCAACCTCGAGGATCATCTCGTTTCTCTCTCTCTCTCTCTCTCTCTCTCTCTCGCGCGCGCGCGCGCGCTCGCCACGCGCGTGCTCGTCGTTGGTCGTCTCGGGAGATCAGCAGCCGGCATTTAAAGCATGGCCGAGGCTTCCGCAACTCCTTTGCTATCAGCAAACGGCGCGAGCGACGACAGACTGCAAGCCTTTCCCAAGCGCCGGGCCTCCGAGTTTGCACACACCGATGGGGCTCTTTGCGGCTATCTCAGAAAGCGCGGCGAGCATCGCCGAGCCCGTACGTCCATGTGCCCTGCTGCGATCCCCCACCCCACTCCTCCTCGGGGCCCCTTGGTCTGTCCCACGCTTGAAACTGATTCATCAGCCCTGCCTCTCACTGCGCACACCTCTTTTCTTCCTACCCCATCACAGTCAAGCTGCGCTGGGTGGTGTTGTATGAAGGACACTGCTACTACTACACGACCAGCGAAGCGAGTGCTCCTAAAGGCCTCTTTAGTCTACGTAACTACACGTAGGTGGCCCGCTCTCCCCGACAGAATGCAATGTGTCGCCGCCATAAAGTGGTTGCAAGCCCCCTTGTTCCCCACCGCGCCTTGTGGCCAGCCCTCACAATCCTGCATGACCGTGCCGAACCGCCGCCGCCGCATGCCACCAGTTTGACGACAAACACGGAAACACTGGAATTGCGTGTGAGTCCTGCGTTGTTCTTTCCCTAATTTGCCTTCCACCTCGCTCCCCTTTGCTGTAATGTTCCCAATGCACCCTGCCTTGAACAAATTTGTCCAAGATCTCACCGTCCAACTCCATGGGTTTCCGCCGACACCGATATGGCCCCCTCCCCAAACCCCTCCTTAACCATATGTCAACCGATTGTAGTTGGAGCGCGGCAAGCAGGATCGCGTGTGGGTCTTCGAGGCCCTGGCGCACAATGATCTTCCAGCTTGGTCCCAGGTCTGGCCCCATGTCCTGATCCACTGCCCGTTTAGCACCCACTGCCAGAGCCACCATGACCTCCCTCACGGCTTCTTTCATGTCCCCCCTCAACGAGCAGCGGTTTCGAGACGCCATCAAGTCCTGGGCCTCACAGCGAGTGATTGATCCCCTTGCTCGCTCCGGAAAGATGCGCGCCCTCTCCCAGTACATCGACAACGACGAAGAACAGTCGGATTCAGATGCCTCTGACGTAGGCCCTTTTCGCATTGATGCCAGCACACCTTGACCTGTTGACACATGCTCACCACTTGTTCTGCCCGCCACCTGCTCTGCCCACCATGCCTGCTCAGGGCTACGACGACCCATACGACGATTTCATCCGCCCCGATGAGCGGGGCAAAGCCCGTACAGCCACTGAACCGCGGTACGCACAGCTTGTCATATACCACGGTCCATTTTGCTTCATTCGTCGCACCACCTGAGCTAAGTAAGGCCTTGCTCGACGCAGTTTGCCACCTCGCCAGCATGCCCCGCCGCTCGATCGGTTTGCCGCACCTCAGACCTCCAAAGATGAGCCCTCTGCTTTGGATTTGGAAGCCCTTCTGGCCACGCCTTTGCCTACCAGCCGCCCAGCAGCTCGCCTCCCAACAGACACGTCCGGCCCGCCACCCGCTATCAACCGCCAAGCCAAGCCTGCACCCAAAGCGCCGCCGGTTCGTTTCTTGCTGGGCCCGTGCCTTGTGTGTCCAAACGTAGCTCGTGCATGTATGCCCCCAATCTTCGCTCACGGGAGAGGGGGTCCATGACCTGGGGCGGGGGACTGCAACACAGACTTCGAACAAAAGTCATCCATTGGCACAATGCTCGTACTTTGTGAGCGGTACGTGCTTGCTTGTGAAGGCACTTGCATGTTAATTTAATGTCTCTGCTGTCCGATATGCTCATATGAACTAACCCTCACCAATACGATGCCCTCGGTCATATGCAATAGGCATGACACGGTCACAAGCCAATCTGCTGGTCTACCAGGACGGGTCTTTCCTTGTTCGCCAGCGCGACGCTGATTCGCCTCTAGTTCGTTCTTGCGGCAACATCACAGTGGATCGTGGGCCTATTCATCAAGTGAAAAGGCTCACCCATCTCAACGTTTGGCTGTTGTTTTTGGCCCAGGTGCTAAGCGTGCGCCTCAAGAGCTCAGTGCGCCACTACAAGATTTTCAAGACCTCCGCCTACACGCTAGGCGGCGACGATGCACGCTACTTTGCCGATCCGGTGCGTGCCGAGGGTCTGTGCTTGGTTGGCTGCCCGAAACATGATGCCCATTGCACCACCCCAGCTCATGCGTACCCAACTTCTGCGCGTCCATGTTCAGGAGGAGCTTATTCAGTACTACCAGCACCATTTTTTGCCAAACGCACAATTCATGTTGGGAACGCCCATAGACATGGACAACCTGGCGACGGGTGGTCATGTTCTTGGCTCAGTCGCTTGAGACTGTCCATACATGCAGAATGCAATATGCATACTCTTTTGCGCTTGATGCTCGGTTCTCTCGTGTTTGGCTGCTGTCCCTCCCCTTTCCTTTTTTTTCTTTTTTTTTTCTTGTACATACCTTTGACTGACTCGTTCTAATTCAACCCCCTTGAACTTGAGAGCGCATCTGTGACTTGTAATCCTCCACTTGCGCACAGCCTCACACTGCGAGCAATGTCGTCCGACCCCCTTTACATCATGCCACCAAGCAAGCCTTTCTTGTCACTGCAAGATCCTTTTTGCTGACATTTTCTCTTTCGCGTATTTTGAATGTGAGAGAGAGAGAGAGTGAGAGAGTGAGAGAGGCGGGGCGTTGCTGTGGAACGATGGGCATCGTCATGGCGATGAGGGGCGGTGCCGTGCAACCCTTCGCAGCGATCGCTTCATCACAGGGCAGTTCATGGGTATCCGCCATTGTGTGTGTGTGTGTGTGTGTGTGCAAATGGGTCCTGGGTTGGGCTTGACCGTCACAATTCGCTGCGGCTGGGTGATTGATTGAGACAGAGGTTTTGTCCGGCCCTCCTGCTGGTTGAAACAATGGGCATCATCAACCAACTACCATTCTCAACGGTCGCCGCGGTTGCCCCGCCAAATCACTCTTCTCCCCACTCCTCCCATGAAAGAACTTTGACCATGCGTGCTACACCACAGCCAACACTGAGCAGACACAGCCATCGCAATGCTCTTGTCGCAAGGGTTGACGGTTGCGCCCATGCCTGGTGGTAGCAAAGTCCATGAAGCAGCATAGCTCCAGCACATCTTCATTTTCACGTTCCCCGATCTCCCCCATAGCCGTTGGTCTTGACGTACACCCGGCCGCTGCGCATCCAGCTCCGTTTTTGCTGGCTTTTGTACTGCCGTTTGGACCTCGACTTTGCTGTGCCCACCCTCAAGCAGGGCGCCGCGCTTGTTATTGTCACCCTGTCGTGCCGTGTCACTTTACTGGGCGCGTCAAGATGTGGCCCCTCGGCAACCTTTTGATCTTGGCAGCCTTGGTTGCCCTAGCCATTGCCTCGGGCGTGACGCGTCCGCCTGCACAGAACCCGCCCTCTTTAGTCGTGGGTAGCGAGGTTGACAAGAAGCACTTGCTCCGTAAGATTGCCAAAATGCAGACGGACTTTACAGGCTGTTTTCGAGTCCAAGCATCCAATACGGGACTTGCCTTTAAAACTGATTTCGAAGGCATCAGCTTTCAACCCCTCAACGACACCCGTGGAGGCTACCGCGCTTTTGAATGCGACGACCAAGGCAGCAAAACTTGCTTCACGGTACGTGGCCAACAGCAGCAGCTGCTCATTCTCCCCCATTCACTCGCCGTTGTCACATGCCTGACCTCTTTGCCCGCCGCAGGCGTTCGACTGCAATGATTTTGAAGGCCGCCTGCGCTGCCTCAAGATCAAGCCATGCCAATGCCTCATGGGTGATTACTTCACGCAGGCCAGCGGTGGCAATGGGTTCAAGTACGTGACTCCACCCTCCCCGTGTCTTCAGCATCACAACCGTCTGCTGCCGCCGCTCACATGTATTCGTCCGACGCTTGTTTTTGATCCGCCACAATCGGCATCAAAACACGTGCTTCTTGGATTGGGGCAGGATCATGCAGGAGACGGCTTCGCAACTCACGACCGCTGAGCTCAACAAGGGCAAGCGAGGCCTGCCGGGCATGTTCCAGGTCGAGACCTGTCTTCTCAATAACACGTTTAACCTGCTGCCCTGCAATCCGCTCGAATCGCGCGACCGCTGCGAGGCCTTTGTGCCCTGTGACGTTGATGCCGGAGAAACGGGTTGTCAAGAACTCATGCCTTCGGCCCTCTTGGGTCTGTGAGCGGGCGTAAACCTCCGCGATGTTTTTGCGGACGATCGTCTAGCGCCATGAAGCGTGGACATGTAAAGTACCCTCCCTTTATTTACAAGCCACCCTGTTGTTGATGTTCTTCTTCTTCATTAAATTTTTGTTTCTGTAGCACGTTGTCAATCCATTCCAACCAGAGTCAAGAGTTCCGAGTCGGTTTTCCATCTTCCGAGTCTATCATTGATAAGCTTTGCAGTCGACATGCAGGGTTGTGAACCACCCACTTTGACGGTCTAGCCGCGAGAAGGACGTGATTCTTCACAGCGACACGTGTACAAGAAGGCATCAAGACTAGCGGTCAATTTTAGAGCAAGCATGAAAGTAACACCAAAAAAGCAGGTCCTAGCCAGCTGAATGCTCCGCTTGGCGAAGCGGCGCACGTCATTGTGCGTTTGTTTTGTTCAACAGGATAAGGGGCGTGGGTAACAACAACAAAGGAAAGGGCAAGAGTAAAAAAAGAGGGGGCAGGGAGGCAGGAGGACATCGGGGGGCACGGCAACGCAAAACAGGAAGAGGGCACAAACTGCACGCATGCCCCGGTGACAAGTACAGAAGGAGAAACCCAAACGAGGACAAACCAAAAATGAAAAAGGAGAGGCACGATGAAGAAGAAGAAGAAGAAGCAGAGGATACATCATCCCATTCCCAAGACACCTCTTGATTGAGGAGGCACCATACAGGGCGACTGTGCCGCTTTATGTCTCATAAGCAAACTCAAAGTACGAGTCATCAAACTGATGCACGCGGATGTAACCATCCTCACCACCAGAGGTGTAGCCGGTACCCTCAGGGTGGAAGGCCAACGTGTTGATGGGACCGAAATGGCCCTTGATGGAACCCATCTCCTCCTCAAAGATCTTTGGGAAATGGCGCGCCAGGCAAGGTGAACCATAATCAGTCGGATGAGCAAATCAGTGACACAACAAGTGCATAGAGCAACACGGGTGTGAACGAGTACAGCGCACGCCCAAGGTCTGCTTGCTTCGCTCAACATACCATGTGGAAAAAGAGGGCATCGAACTTGCCCTGCTTGCCGTGGGTAGTGGTCACATCACGAGCCTCCTGACCACCACCGAGAATGACGTGGTCGCGAATGGGGCTGACGCAAGCAGAGTTGATGGGGCGAGCCGCCTCGTAAATCTTGAGCAGCTGCAGAGAATCAGCGTCATACAGCTTGGATGATTCATCCTTGGACGCGGTGATCAGGGTGGACAAATCCTTGCCATATTGCATGTCCGAGATGGCGGCCGAGTGAGCCTGCAAGGCGTCACCAATCATATCGCCAGTCTATGTATGCATGTGAAATGTGAATGACATTGTTGTCGAGAAGAAATGAGGGGGGCACACGCCGAGCTGGAGAGGCGACGCGAGCTGATGCGTGCAGGTGGGAGTCGTCGTGCATGGACAGTTCGACCGCGCTTACCGTCGCGGAGAAGCGGCGCAGGTAACCCTTGTCATCAGCAGTGACAATGGTCTCGTCGCACAGACCCCACTGGGAGCACGTGGCCTGCACCGCGATCAACAAACAAGAAACCGGTCAGCGGGACATATGCTGTGACTCACGAGGCCAGAATGTCGAGGCAGACGCCCCCAGGAAAGTTACGTGTTGGCATTGCGGGGTCACAAAGTGGGCAAACACCAGGAGACATGTGACACTGACCTTGCTGCCGTGATCAAAAGAGAGAACGGCTTCAGCAGCGCTGCCCTCTTGGAGCATACGGGACACATCAATCGTCTTGACCAAGCAGGGCTGGCCCATAATGTTATCGGTCGAGTAAAGAATGCGCTTGCCATCATAGCTAAAGTGTGCGGTACGGATGGGCGAGTTCTCCGTGATAGTGCAGAGGTGGTTGCCTGGGGGCATGGTGTGCATTTGCACGACGAGGCATGTCAAACGCATGTATGAGCACATCGATGGACCACCACCGGTTTGATTCAGGATTGCTGCAGATGATTCATGACCACCGGGATCCCATGTATGACCTGTCCTGTTGGATATGGGATCACGCCATTGAACGTGAAGCAGGATGCATACCGGTTTCGACGTCCCAAAGCTTCATGCTGTTATCAGCAGAGCCCGTAACGAGATACTTGCTCGTGTAGTCGACATCACCGGTCCACACGGTACCGTTGTGCATGTGCTCACCGGCAAATGTACCCAGACGCTCGCCTGGTGATTGGCGACGAGATCACATGAGCGTATGGGACAGGTTACAAGGTGGCAGGCAAGTCCAATAGAATCAGCAGTTGGGGCGCGCCAAGGCTAAAGATGAGCAGCTCACCATTGTGCGAGTACCAGACGCTGGGGACCTTGTCCTTGGAGGTTGAGAACAAGAGGTCACCTGCAGACCGGGCGAGAGTGGTGTTGAGATGAAAAAATGGACCGACTCACGCTTGCATACATCGCGACATGATAGATCAGGAGCTCAATGCAGCTTGGGCGGCCCCTGCGAGGAGCTCCAAAGTCCAAGGCCACACGCCAGTTCGGTCATGACAAACCTTCGCGGTTGTAAAAGACCTTGGTCAGAGGTCGGGTGTGACCCTTGATCATCAGAGGCTTCATCTTGATTGGTGTGTTGCTAAAGCTACAGAACAAGACCTGCAAAGCCCGGAACGCGACCGCATGAGAAATGGATCGTGCTGTTTGCGCTCTGCCGTCGTCCCATGATGATCCGAGCCAGGTCATCGCTCGCTCGCTCTCTCTCCTTCTTTCACGCGCGCGCGCCGCCTTGCCCACAAATAAAGAAAAAAAAGCCAAAAGGTCCCGATCGACGCCATCTTGAACAAGCACACATTTGGCTCAAATCACCAGACAGACAACCCCGCCTCCAGCCAAGGCTTCTTCCCTCGGAAGACGGAGCAGCGCGGCCAGTCTCCCTCTCACTCACTCTGCGCGCGCGCGAATCAGGTCGTCAGTCACCCACGTGAAAGCCGCCAACAGAGGAAAGTCCAAGTCTCTGCCCTCGAGTCTAACGTCAGCTACACTTGGCTTGCAAGCCGTAAATCCAACTTTTTGTATGCGTTTGGCGGATGTTTTTGTCGATAGGGTAATAGCCCTTTTTCGAGCCGACGACCAGCTGAGGTCGGGTTAGAGGAGAGTGACAGTTGGTAGCGTTCGTTGTCATCTTTACTCAAAGTGTGATATGCGTTAGACTCGAGCTACAATACGCGCTGTGCCCTTGTACCAAAGACCGCCATTATCTCTGCCATTCAAGTCCTTGAACGCTCTCATCTCTGGTTCGCTTGGAATTACCGCTGCATCTCCCCATCTTCGCCTCTCCAGCCTTGACCTCTCTCTGCCCGTTGCCTGGCTGCACCCCTCTTCTCTGGCATACTCTCTCCTCTCTCTCTCTCTCTCTCTCTCTCTCAGCGGCAGTGGATCGAGAGGTACGGAATCCGTTCTCGGGGACAGTCAGTGGTGAGGGCGGTGCTGGCCGTTGTTGGGATGGGGGAGGGGCATGTCGGTATGTCGGCGGAGCGAAGGAGACGGGGAGGGGAGGGGAGGGGTCTGTGGCTCGTCTGAGGTGGCAGGAAGTAGCTGGAATTGCAGCGTTGTCGTCGCGGGGGGTTGTGGTGAGGACGTGGCAAACAGTTGATGGAGGCTGTCCGTCCGCTCGCAGCCCCAGGTGCTGGTCGTCAGGGAAGCGGATTGAGTTGAGCATTTACCAGGTTGCTAGCTTGCAGAGCAGGTTGTGGGATCAGGGCCTGAGGCGGGATCGTGTCAGCGGCCTCGGCTTTATTTTTCGGTCCGACGGACCACCTCTCATCCTTGTCCGCCTTGATCTGCCGCAGTGAGCACGCGCGCGTCATGGCGAGCCACGAAGAAGAGGCGCCGGTTGCCGAGCCGGACCAGGCTGGCGTCGAAGATTCGGGCGCCGATCAGCAGTCAATGAATGAAACCGCTCGTGAAGGCATCTCGGCGGCAGACCTCACACACCTGGTCAGCAATGCCACCACTTCGATCCAGAACGAAGTCGAGGTCCTCGTCAACGCTTTGCAGCTGCGGCATGAAACGGTGAGCCGAACCAGTCCTTCCAGCAGCAGCGAAAATGTCGGCGATTGCCAACACGGGCAAGCCTTCTTTGTATCCCTTGTCGAGTTGCGAAGCAGCACTCCCCAGCTGCCCGTCTCGACTGATATCTATCCACCCTGCCCCGCCCCCTTTGACTTCAAATCCAGCTTGAAAAGCTGCAGCAGGAGCTTGATGATCGGGCTGCTGACCTCGAGTCGGAGATTGCCCGCCGCCGTGCCGAGTCGGTAGGGCCTTTTATCCCAGCCTTGCCTCCGATCGAGTCGAGCCGTCTGGCATCCACAAACCACAGATGGCTATGACTGACGCTGCGTTGCCGCGCTGCATCTGATCTGTTGCGTGCAGGAGGAGGAGCTAGAGGCAGCCCGTGAGGCGCTGGCGAGTGAGCGCCAGGCCTTTGAAGACGAAAAGGCTGCCATGGCCAATGCCCACACGTTTCAGAAGCAAAAGGTTCGAATACGCCTTGGCCCTCACACAAATAACAAACCCTAGGCTCAAGCACGGCAGACTCACTGATCGACCCTCCTTTCCTCTGTGACCGTTCACCTCTGGCCACTCAGATCAAACTGGACGTGGGTGGCCAAACATTTAGCACTGCCCGCAGCACTCTAACTTCAGTGCCGGATTCTTACCTGTCAGCCATGTTCAGCGGCAACTATGAGCTTGAGCAGGTTGGCCTTGATCTTGGCGCGCGGCTTGTGGCTTGTTGAGTGCCTGCGACAAGGCCATGGTTGCATGGTCGATAGTATCCGGCACACACCATCACAATCACTCACAAGCCATGCCCGATGACGTTAGGATGAAGATGGCAGCTATTTCATTGATCGCGACGGGCGCCACTTCCACCTCATCCTCAACTTTTTGCGAAACCCGGTACGCCAGTTCCCAGCAAAGGGCTCGTGGATAGGGACGGTCTTGCTCCTTCCTGTCTCATCGCTGCACCAATGGACTGATCCCTTGCTAGGACAATTTTGAGTTTCCTACAGATCCTCACGTTCTGAAAGAGCTGCTGGAAGAGTCTGACTTTTACAAGCTTGACATGCGTGAGCGCGTTACACCCCCAGCTCTGCCCCCCACACCAGTCGTCGCCCATCAAGAGAATACCGTCGACTATTACCCCGCGTACCACCAAGAGGCGTCACAGCAGCATCCGTCTTACTATTCATCACAACCAGGACAGCAGCAACAACAGCAGGAGCAGCAGCAACAACAAGAACAATACCAACAACAACAACAACAACAACAATACCAGCAGTATCAATCTTCACCTTATCAGTATCAGCAGCCCATGCCCATGGCAGACAGCAACGTGGCACCGGAAGCAAGTCCCATCCCCACCATCAACGAGGACAACGGAGAGCCCGTCACTGTTCCGGATGCGACCGATAACAGTGCACCTCCGTTGTACATTGCTGGCACTTCCTTGGCTCGACGTGAAGCGGGCTCCCCCACCTCAATGCGCTCCTTCGCCAGCTCCTCGGCGTCGGCACCAGCCCCGGTGATGGCGGCTCGCCAGGCCGCTGCCCAAGCCGCAGAGCAGGCCCAACCAACGGTCCCTGCCACGACCAACGGTTTCCTGTCGGCCCCGCCCGCGAGTGCTCCCCCAACTGTCCAGTCTTCGGGCAAGTCCGCTCCGCCCACCTTTTACAACGTGGGTTACTCTGCCGCCTCTAGCATGCCCATGGACGGCGGCGCAGCTGTTGCCTTGGATAACAGTGCGCCGCCTTTGTTTGGTTCGGCCTACGCCCCCACTACCTCGACGCCCGAGCCACCAACGGGCAGCTCTTTGGCCTCGGTATCCAGCTTCTTTTCTCGTGCTGCTGACTCGGCCGCAGCGATTCTGGCGGGGGGTGAAAGCGCCAGCGAGCCCATGGCATCATCCGCCCCTGGCGTGCAGACCACGGGCAACATGCCATGGACTCCCTCCGCCTACAACCCGTTTTCGCCCACGCATGGCGCAGCTTCCGGGCCGCCCACAGCAACGCCAGAGAATGCCCCCACAAACGGCGGTAAGCCCTTTCCCCGTTTCCCTCACGCTGTCCAGCTTCTGGACTAGCACTCGGATTGGCATTGGAGCAGATGCACTTCTCGTCACACGCTTGCGTCCTTGTATGGTATCTTGTTTGTGTGCAGGCTTTGGCGTGTCCACGCCTACGGGGACCGTGTCCACCGGAGTGGCAGCTGCCGCACCACCCTCAACTCCCTTTGCCAACAGTTTTTTTGCCACAACAGCCGAGGCCCCGAGGACTCAGAACACTGCCGTCGCCCCACCCCTGTATGCGGCTGCGGATGGCAGCAGCGCATCAATGGACCCAAGTCCTGCACCAGTGGTGCCCGTACACGAAGATTCAAGTGTACCTGCCCTGGAGACCACCGGCCCGGTCCCCGAGCCTTCACGCCCTGAGAGCGCTGTCTCGCTATCCGCCCCTATGGAGCCTGAAACGCCCAATCCAGCCGTGAATGAGGTGTCCGGTCTATCGGCCATGGCAGAAGTCGGAAACAATGGCATGCAGGAGGTGCCGCTCGACTCACCTCAACGCCCTATGGCCAACGGTGGTGCGCCACCAGTCGACGGTCAGGCGAGTCTTAAGCTTGGACCCGTGTCCCAACAAGAACGCAACTCGCTGCGAGGCTGGAACGACCCACCCATGAACCTCTCCAGTCGTCGGCGCAAGCCGACCGGACCCGCATTGTCCAGTACGATGCCCGTGCCGGCCGCTGCTCCAGCGGCAGCGCCAGGTCCGGGTGCAGTGAGCTCACCATTTTTGCAGCCAGATTATTCAATGGACACGCCCAGCTCTGCGGGGACTTTCAGTGCCATCAGCGGGGACGGCGCGTCGCCGGGCGCCACCGGGGCTGCACCCGAGGCCAATGACGCACCCGTCGAGCTACCAGAAGCCTACCGACCCATGCAGGTGCGTGTGAAGGGGAAACATGCTGCGTGTGGTCTTGCTGGCTAGTGATTGTCTGCTCTGCCTACTCTTTGATTTGTCAACTCACACGTCTTGCGCTGTGTTGACGATGGTAGACCAACCTTGAAAGCGCACTGGGCCGCCTTCAGCCTAAGCAGAAGCGCAAGAGCGATGACATTCGAGGCAAGCTGGGTGCATTCTATCGCCAAGTGGCTGAGGGTGCCATTGCCCCCGACGTGGTCGAGGGTATTAGCCACCTGAGCCATTATCTGGCTGCCAATCAGCTGGATCAGGCTCTTCAGATGCATTCCCACGTTATCAACATGGGTAACATTGATCAGGTCAGATAGGTACCGGTGCACCTGTGGACTCTATGCGTCCGAATTGCCACCAAACCTTTCAGGGGCGGCACGCTGCGGTGCGCTGAGGGCACGACTGCTTGACCACTCATTGGTATTGTTGCTCTTTTGTGCCGTGCTTTAGGCGGGCACCGTGCTGTTGAGTCTAAAGTCTCTGATCCATCTGCTCAAGCGCAACTAAACAATCTGCATGCGACGATGGCCTCTGTGTATCAGGCTTGAAGGTGTGGCGTAGGGTGTAAAGCGACATGGTGTGCTTGCTCCGCAGACACATGCGGTGCTGGTTGATCAGTCGACTAGTTCTCTCGGCGCAGACCACCAGGAATCAAAGGTTCAATTATCAGTTTCAAAAAAGAAGAAGAAGAAGAAGAAGCACTCTAGCACAGAAGGCGAACACGCAAAGAAAGGTGCCAAGCAGAGAGGGCGGCCACAGCAGTCATTGGCAGATGACGGGCTCAAATTCCGGATTGTGCAGGTTGAAAAGTCGGAGATTGTTTATGCTGCCGAGTTGGGGGTCAGTAACTGTAGTTCTAGCTGCAATTCGGGTGTAGTGATCAGAACACAAGTGTTGAAGAAAGAAAAAAAAAGAAAAGAAAAGCATGGCATGGCATGTTTGAGTGGAAGGATAACCCCAAGGCACATACCACAGGATCGGTGAAGAGAGGCTCCAGTGGCTGATCGGGAACGAGCTCCACCTCGAGCACAGGGTGAACCAGCATTTGCTCGGCGGGCACGATGTTTGTATCATGTTGAACTTTGAGCATCAACTAGTGTGGTCGTTGGGAGCAAGCCAAGACAAAGCCCAAGAAGTGCGGTAGAACTGCAATCAGGATGGTACCGCGCATCGACGAAGCAGGGCGCGTATGTGCAAACCTCTTCGACCTGAGCCTCGAGCGGCAATTGATAGGTGAGGCGCTGCTCCTCAAAAACCACAACAACCTGTGTGCGTGATGTCAATTCAGAAGCAGACCATCACCCTTTGAGTAGGATCGTGACATGGACGAGAAAATCTTCACCATGCGCTCAGCAAGCCTCACCTCAAGAGCTGAACGCTCTGCCACCACGGCCTGGTTCTCTCGAAACAACCCCAAGGCAGCCTAAAGCATCAACCCGACCACAACAACATCATCAACCGAGTGGAGGAAAACAACATGGCCTGCCGCCGACTTTGCATTGCCCCGGGGTCTTTTTTGTTCTTTCCTCGTCTGCTTTAGCTCCACATACCTCGACATCATAGGCGCACGCCTCGAGAATGGCGCGACACTGGATCTCATCCGTGCTGCCGGATCGTGCAAGAAGCTCTGCGAGCAGTGACTGTTTCACCTCGGCCGCCATCTTGAAGTAAAATACTTTACTGTTGGTGAGAGCGTTATTCTGACATGAAGGATTGGATAAGAAGTATAATACTTGTCTTGATGGGTGGGTGGCATGATCGAAAGGGCAGCGCATGGCATGTGTCAAGGTGTCGCGCAGGGGGGCGGCAGTCAGTCTGTCGGGCGTCGATGGGATGTAACCGTGTTGACAGCACGGCGCTGGCTCGTCCGAAGATGTACCATGCCATGTCGACTGATATGGCTCCTGGGTTTGTCAACAGCAAGGACTTTGGGTATGGTTGAGCCTGCCTAGGCTGCTGCTGCAGCACAGACCCTGAATGGAATGGCTAGCCCCTTTTCCCTCCCCTGCTCTGTTGTCGCCATCCTGCCGCTGCTTCTCCTTGCTTGTACCTGATCCACAAGTCAATCGAGTGCCCTCAACGAGCTTCTCCGCCTTGGTTCGCTTTTTTCCCAAGGACCCATCACCCATACATCCCAATGAGTAGTATGTGTGTGTAGGCCAAACCAAACTACTGGTTGCTTTGACCCCGTGCCGTTGATGTGCTGTTGCTGTTGCTGTTGCTATTCCCCACACGCGTCTCTCTTTCTCTCTCTCTCTCTCTGTTCAGCTATGCTGCCCTCTCTCCATAAAACTCTCTCTCTCTCTCTCTCTCTCTCTCTCCCAAAAACTATCAAAAACTCTCTGTCTCTCTCTCTCTGTCTGTCTCTGGTCTCTCTGTCTCTCTCTGTCTCTCTCTGTCTCTCTCTCCCCCCCTCTCTCTCTCTCGCGCCCACAAGTCCTATTTTTATTTACCTCTCTCGAGCTGTGTGTGTGTGTGGGTGTGCGTGGTGTGTGTGTGTGATCTCTAGATTTCCTTCCAAGATCTCTTGCTGTGCAGCGCCCGTTTGGTCGTGCGTGGGCATCATGGGGCAGGCGTGTACCAAGGAGCAGGGTGGAGATGGGGCACCCAGCTCGAGTCTACCAGCTGGCGCTGCCACGTCGATCGAGCCTCAAGCGCCCGCTCCCGTTGCCGGTGGTGGCAAGCCAGTGGTGGAAGCGGCAACCTCTCTTGATGCCGCCGCCGTCGCCAGCCCCGCCGTTGGCTCTGATAAGGGCGTGGGTGCCTCTGCCGATGCCAACATGCGCTTGCTGCGTGTCTCCGCCGTGGTTCAGTATGACTGGGTCCGCTGCTACGAGAGCATCGCCACCGGCGACTATGTTGAGGTGAGCCTGGACGCCTTTCTGCAGGACTACTGCCATCGCACCGCCGCCATTTCCTGGCGCTGGGCCGCACCCAAGCCCGCTTCGCGTGAGGCAGCCGATGGAGAAGAAGGCCAACGCGTCGTTCCACGCAACCTGATCCAGTACCTGGCCAAGTGGCCCCCGATTGCAAATGGGGCCATAGAATTCATCTGGCTCGATTGGGCTTGCGTGCCCCAATACCAGGATGCTGCCACCACCATGCGCGAGATCAATCGATCGGGCCTCTACTATCGTGAGGCCCGAGAAGTACTGGTGTGGTGCTACGATCACCTCGATGCGGCGGGGCTCAGCTATAAATTTTCCTCCTATTTTGCCCGTGCCTGGACGCTGTCCGAACGCCTCCATCGCTCACGTGGTCCCCACGCCCTCACCGCTGCCGCCATCCTCCCGGCTTGGTTCAGTAACGAGGACGCGCGCTTCTTTCTTAGCCCGACCACGGATCGCATCACAGGCGTCGACAATGGCGAGCTTGATCGTGGGGCCTGGCTTCAAAAGCAGCAGTCCATCGTTGTTGCCGTGCAGCGGGCGATGGCCGAGCACGGCGATGTCACCGCCAGCGTTGACCAGCGAATCCGTGAGCTACTGCTGTCTCGCTTCGAGCACCTTCATAACACCTTTCAGGCTCTTGTGGGGCCGTTGCACAACCTCCTAGACCCCGCCACGGCTGCCGCCCTTGAGAATGCCCTCGCCTTGCGTGCCTATGCCGAATGGAATCGCGGCAAACTCACAGCCCCCGAGGAAAGCGATCTGTTTGAAACGCAAGCCATGGGCGCCCGCCTCAATGGCACCTCCCTTCGCGTGGCGCTTCTGAGGAGCATGGTCAACTATAGTCGCATGAAACTGAACAACCTCAATCAGGGCGTCAAGGCGGACAAGACGTACCACGAGATGACTCGCCTGGTTGACGACTTGGTGGGCATCTCCGATACGGCCCGTTCATGCTTTGAATCTGCGGATGCCGAGGCTGGTTCAGCACTCTACACTCGCTTAGTGCAGACGTCGGCACAGCTCTGGGACCTGGCCATTCACCGGACCGTGACGGAGGAGGTGGATGCCACCTGGATTCGTCGCTACCTCGTTTTTGACATTGGAGTTCGCTACCAGGCCTGGATGCCGGCTGACCTACTTTTTGCCATTTACAAGCTCTTTGACGTGCCAGACATGAAATACGGCGACGAGGCCCGGGTTTGGCGAGAGCTGGCTCACCGCGCCGGGATTGAGTACGGCTCACCCTACTCGTGGCTGCGCAACCTGTCACTCCCAGACACACCAGAGCTGGCCAACGCCACGGCGCAGGGTACCAACCAGCACCAGCACGCTGTGAACACGGCTGCCGCCAACTTTGGTTTCTTTGGCTGTGAAGCTGACGAGCTCGCCCCGGGCGTGGCATCGCCCCTGGCCTTTTTTGAGGCCATCATGCTGGACGATGACGAGGCTGCACTCAAGACTCACTTTGAGAAGCAGGGTCTGACCGCTGAGGCGGCGGCTGCTGTTTTTGCCGACACACCCAACCTCGCCATCTTCACGCTGGGCGTGCAGCTCAGCGCACAGCAGGCGTATGCCCTTTGCGAGGCCAACCTGACCCGTATCAACTTGGCCACCGGGGGCGAGATTGATCAGCACATCTCGTTGCGCGGACGTCAGGCATTGGGCAATCACGAACGTGAATTTCAGGACAGGCTGCAGGCCTTGATCCGTGACCACGTCAAGTCAGCAGATGGCAATGCACTCTTCGTTGCGGTCAAGTACAACGTGGCCACCAACAGCGCACGCACCCTCATGGTCTGGGCCAACCGCGTCGAGGGCGGTTGGAGTGCCGAGGGCGTGGTCAGCATTGGCAGTGCTGCTCAAAAGGGTAGCACATGGGGGTTTGCACAGATGCTGCAAAATCTAGCGACAGACGCTCTGGAGTTGGTGGGTGGCCTCAACGTGGCCTTGTGCGACAACAGCTTGGATGGCCGAGGACTCTCCGAGGTGATTGCCCCCAAGGTGGAGGAGGCAGATGGCATTCTAGAGGAGTGGTGGGCCCTGCCCCTGGTGACAGAGCCCGTGGAGGTGGCCGTCAACGAGGAAAAGGAGGCCCCAGCTGCGATCGAGGGGGGTCAAGCCGCCCTCATCGCAGCCTTGCGGGCAGCTGGGTTGGACCCAGCGGCCGTCCTGGGTCTTGGCACAGGTGCTACAGCTGCCACGGCTAGTAGCAGCGGAGGGGCAGCTTCAGGTGGCAAGGTGACGTTTTCCGACCGTGACCTCAAGTATGCCGATGAATGTTTTGCCGCTTGCCAGACAGGTTTGACGCCGTCCGCGGTGCAGACCTACACCGCCATGTTGGCCGCCAATTACGTCCATGACTCCATCATGGCCAAGAACCTGGGATACTATGCCAAGTTTGCTCAGGCGCTAGCCCGTCATTTTAGCGAGTTGCCCGAGCTCAAGACTGCCTCTCCAATGATCGAGCAAAAGCTGGACTACCTTCTCGAAGATTTGGTCGATGCCATTGATATGGCCGATGACGCAGCGGAACAGGAAGCTGCCACCGCCGCATTGAAAGAGCTTCGTGCGCTTCTTTGAGAGGAGTTTGCGTTGAAGAGCTCGGGCATGTTATGTGTATTGTGTGTTTGCCATGTGTTCTGTTCAAATTTGACTTGCATCGACAACCCTATCTCATCACCATTCTTGTTCGAGATGAAGATAACCTCCACAGCCCTGGCACTCCACATTCTAACTCATCACTCCCCACGCTCTCTGATGCGCGCTCTGATGCTCGCTCTCACTCTCACTTCCACACTCACCAAAAGTAGAGATGGAAGCCTTTGCACGAAGCTTCATAGCACCAGTTTTCCTGTACCACACTGCCCTTGAGTTCCGTGCTCTACTAGCCGTTACTTTTTTCTTACATCTGCCTGTGTGTGTGTGTGTGTGTGTGTGTGTGTGTGTGTGTGTGTGTGTGTGTGTGTGTGTGTGTGTGTGTGTCATCTCGCTCTCTCTCTCTCTCTCTCTCTCTCTCTTTTACTGTGTGGCGTGTCTTGATCCAAAGTGATGGCGGCGAGCGTTTCACGGCGGTCTGAGGTGAGGAGGTGGAGGTGGGCATCAAGGGGAAAGAGTGCAGTCGTCCGAGCTTTTTTATTCTTGGGCTGGAGACATGGGACAAGATACACCTGTCTTTCTACCTAGATTGCGTGGAGCCTGACGGGCTGGGCTGGGCTGGGCTGGGCTGACGGAGTTGTGGTGCGCAACGGCAGGTGTGCGTGCAGCACGATTGGGGTGTGGACGTGGATCAGGGCGAGGGCAAGTTTTGGGTCTCGGCGCGGCGGTACGGCGAGCCCACTGATCATGGCAGCGTGGTGGTGGTGCGGGAGGGTCCGCTGGGCCGGGATGGCTTTGAGGCCGAGCTGCTTCATGACAATGTAAGGCGACCGCTCGCACTGGCACTTGTGTGGACTGGGGCTAAATGATGCCCGTTTCAATGCAGATGACCTTACGCCTAGAGCACGACAAGC